GGCCAGAGGTGCAGGGGCGGTGAGAGGCTTCACCAGAGACAGAGTGGGGAGCAGAGCAGGCAGATCGACGAAGTACACTGCTGAGGGGAGCAGCGGGCGAGACAGGGAGATTGCCATGTGGGTCCCCTCGGGGTGGGGATGGGGATAGAGCTTGCAGGGCTGCATGCTAACTGGGTGCACTGCCAGGGAGCGCCCCATGGAGAGCTTATTTGAGCCCCACGGGACCCTGGCCTGTGGCCCTGGCCTGCCTACCTCACAGCAGCCCTACGAGACAGAAGCCTCTATGCAAGTCTCAGAGACAGATTCGGACAGGCTGGCAGCAATGACCCTGACCGGCACCCAGGCTGTGCCAGTCACCTGTGGGGTTAGAGCACCCCAGACTCCAGCCACCTTCCAGGACTGCAGCCCTGGTTTTGTCCCCAACGTGCTGTGCGGCCTCAGGCAAGTCACTGACCCTCTCTGAGCCTCTGCTTCCACCCTGTGAAGTGGGCATCACAGCTCTGCCCGCCTCCAGGGCCAGGATCCTCAGCCTCATCACCGTGGATGTCCTGGGCGGGCGGTTCCTCATGCTGGTGGCAGCCCCTCGCCGGGGGGTGGTCAGCGGCGTCCCTGACTGTGACCGTTACAGAGCGTGGTGCTCGCGCACGACCCCACAGGCTTCCGAGCGCCCCTGGGGAGCAGGATGACACCTCCTGCTGAGGCCCGCAGGGCCAGCACTGCAGTGAGACTTGGTGAGAGCACATGCAGGAAGCGCTGGGGCCGGCGAGCACCTGTGGCCACCACGTCGCGGCTTTGCTTCATTGCTATTATTTCAAGTAAAATGCTCATCATCATGACCGCAAGACTGAGCGGTGAGGAGACTGGGGTGGGGGTGGGGGGAGGGGGCTTGACCCCCTCGGGAGCCCCCAGAGACCCTGGTGTCCTTGCTGCTGCTGCTGGCCTGTGCTGAGGGCTCCTCCTTAGGTCTTGCCTCAGGGGAGCACAGAAGGCACAGGCGATAGCCCCCCGTCATTGCGTGGCCTCCAGTGGAGGACTCTGACTCTCACCTGCACCCCTGCCTGCCTCAACATGCTCGATTCCTGCAGAGCGAAGTCTAAGCGCACATGGCAGCTGCTGGCTGAGGGTCCAGAGCCCCCCTCACCTAGGTGGGGGAGACGGGAGGTGACGTTTCCAGGGTCCTGCTTGGTGCTGGCACTGAGTGGGTGCTTGGGATGCCTGAGGTCACTGACATTCCCAAGAACTCCAGGAGGAGGTGGGCTCACCCCGGCTTTACAGGGAAGGAAACTGAGGCTGAGCGAGAGGAAGATTGGCCCAAGATAACTCGGATACCAGGGCCCAACGGGACACAGGCATAGCCCCCTTGAGAGCCTGGGCTCTCCTGCGCGATGGTCGCCATTTAATCCCAGGGTCAGCACACACTCCATCCGATTTAATACTTCCTGCAAACCTGTGGAAAAGCTCCTGCAGGTGCCCCCAGGAGAGGAGGAAGTGGAAGCTCAGGTCATTAAAGCGATACCCTAAGGTCACATTACACAAACAGCAGAGCTGGGCCCTCCCTGGTGGTGCAGCGGGTTAGGATGCAGCACTGCAGGCGGCCACAGCCGCTTCAACACGAGTTCGATCCCCACCCTGGAGCTGACCCACATGGCGCGGCAGCCCTCTCCTGACCCACCAGCCGCTCCCCTCAGCAGTGTACTTCATTGATCTGCCTGTTCTGCTCCCCACTGTATCTGGTGAAGCCTCTCGCCGCCCCTGAGCCTCTGGCCTGTACCCCAGTTCTGTATGCACAAATAAATCTTTAAAAAAAAAAGAAAATCTAAAAATAACGGTATTTTAGGCACCCCACCCCCACCCCTCCAGGTGGCACAATGGGTTAATGTATAGCACTATGAAACTATCAACATCTGCTTCAGCACAAGTTTGATCACCAGCCAAGGAGGTGATCCACATGGAGCAGTAGACCTCTCCTGTCTCACCCACTGCTCCCCTTAGCAGTGTACTTCATCATTTTGCCTGTTCTGCTCCCTACTGTTTCTGGTGAATCCTGTACCCCAGTTCTATATGCATAAATATATCTTAAAAAAAGTATTTTAGGAATAACATTACATCAATGCAAATTAAGTGTTAAGCTTTCTTGTTCATTTTAAGTGCTTTTAAAATAAATGTACAGAATCAATAAAATGAACTTTTCTGATTATCTAGTAAGTTTAGAAATGGTTTAATAAGTATCAGTAACTAATTAGATACTGCTAATTAGTATCAGTTCACAAAACTCTAAAGTAAGAAATTTTGATGATTCATCCCTTCTTAGCAATAAATACCTCTCAATTTCTCTAAAGCCAATATAATTGTAAAGGAAGAGTTCTTTTCTTTATCCTTTAAAATTTTAATTTTAAAGGTAAGATTTATGTTTTCAGTAAGATTCTCATCCTATGCCAGAAATGGTATTCCTTAAAGTCCAAGTTTTTAATACTTGCATCTTTTCTGCTCATAACAATTATATATAGACATTATTGGTAACACAGAAAATCTTGGTATAGAACATTTATTTCATGAAACACTCAATGTTTAGGTCAGTGGGAAATAATTTTAATCAAAGAATTGTACATTTTCTTCCCACATATCTTGCTTTGTATTAGGAAATGACATTGAGATCCATTTCACTACAATATTACAAAATATTTACAGGAAAATATTAAAAATAACTTGAACACAAAAGGCAAGATGGGGTGAAATAAACTTTTTTCCAGAAATCTCTACTCCAGTGCCCACAGCACACAGGAAGAGAAGCAAATTAAGTAACAAAGATCCCCCGCCACAAGTTTCCACAGAATTGGAAAGGGGGAAAATAACAGGAGAAAATGGTGGTATGAAAGGGAATGGATGTTAGCAGCACGGCTTCAATAACCAATCTATTCTGAATGAAGTATCTTCTCAGATGCCGTAAATTCTCACCAATGCTAAACTTTAGGATATTCCTTGAACTGAAATTAGAAAATACCCTGACACTGAAAGTAGCGCTTTTGCCTAAATTTTGTAAGCGCCTCTTTTCCATAAACCAGCGATGTGGAGAGAAGCCTGCTCTGGCATCAGAAGCTGTCACAGTAGCCCTTCCATCTCTTTCATGAAAGCTTCATAAACATCATCCTTAGTTTGTACTGAGACGGGGACAGATGGGCCAGATTTGGGAGCTGCTTTGGCAAGAGGCACAGCAGAATCATCCTCTGATTTTCTTTGGGGAGTAGCAGTAGCCCCTTTATTCTCCCGACGTACCCTCAGTGCAGTGGGCACGAATCGCGTTATCTCTGCCTTAGGATTAGTGATCTGTGGCTTGGCACTGATGGTTGCTGTGGCTTTCTTCTCAATGGTGGCTGCACTTGTATCATCCGCCTTGGGTCGCTGAATCAAGTTGGGTGGAGCACTTAAAACCCCTGGGTTTGGCAAGGGAGCCGGTGGGAAAAGCCCAGGTGGGGCAGGTCCAAGTGGAGGCACCAAAGGTGGGCGCATCATGCCAGGACGAGGTGGTGGGATACCTGAATGAAGGAGAAAACAGTCAGAGAAACACAAGAATAAAATTTAACAATAAATTTAACAATAAATTTAATAAAACATGGGTTGATACCTTCTAACAGATAATTTACAGAAAATAAGCTGAAATTATGCTGCTTGCTATTTTGAAATTTAATAATACTCTTATGCTAAGGACCATTTAAGGATCTATAAAATAGTATTTACCTTCAGCCTCAATACCTGTACTTATATTTCCTTCCTCTCTCAATGTACTTTAGAACATCTGGTTTCAAATTTGATTTTAAATTTGTCAAATTTCAGATATATCAGCCCAAGATCCTATTCTAGCTGTATAAACACCAGCAAGACCAAGGTTGGGGGTTTTGATGCCTTACTCACTCATTTCCACACTCCTCTCACCAAAAAAGTAACTTAACAAGCAAGAAATGCTCATTTTAACACTGGAAAGAGAGACTGCCATTGATCAATATCACCATTACTGTAAAAGAATTCATGTCCTATTGACTGTTTAAACACACTGCCACTGTTTACTAGGAACTGCAGATCTAATTTTCTTCAAATCTAAATTTTTAAAGAGATTTATTTTATCCATGTATCAACAGTCTAGAGGTACGTGTGTGTGTGTGGGGGGTGGGGGTGGGAGTGGGGTGGGTAGGAGTAGAGGGAGAGTGAAAGAAATCAGGTAAGAGTGGAGAGCAGAACAGGAAGACTGACCTAAATATACTGTTGAAGGGAGCAGCAGGTGAGACAGGAGAGGTCTGCTGCGCTATGTGGGACAGCTCCCTGGCCAGGGATTGAACTTGTGCTACAGTGGCTGTTAACAGCTTCACTGTGCTAAGACTTAACCCCTTGCACCACCGGGGAGGACCCTCCTACCTCAATTTTAAGATTGACTTTAAAGTGCTAAATTTCATTAAATTTGAAATACTACTACCCATAATTATTACATATACTACCAGGAGAGGGAAAAAAAGTAAGCTGGGAAGCTTAATGGAAACATTAAACTGGGATAGCCAATGTAGTAAGGCAGAAATACACCTTGCATAATCTTGACATTGGGGGGGAGCGGTTGAGGGGACAGGGGGAAATTCCCCACTGAGACATTGAACTTTAAGTAGGTGCTCATGCAGATGCATGGAATGATTGTACAAGTTTCTGTGTAATCCTAAAAGAAATCTCAAGCAGAGAATTTAATCCAAGTGGTGTCTGGCTGGGCCAAGTCCCTCATGTGATTGGCAGAATCAATGCAAACATCTGTAAGAAATCAGGTTCAGAAACAACTGAAATGCCCAAAAATAGATAACTGGATCAAGAAGATGTGTGTGTGGAATATTATTCAGCAATCAAAAGATATACTCATTCCATTTGCAGCCAACATGGATGGAGCAGGTAGAAAAGCCAAAAGAAAAAAGAATATTGGATGGCTTCACTTATAGGACGAATGTAGGGGAACCAAATAAGGGACCAGAAAAAAAATCTAATTATAATAAAAACCAAATTAACTGGCAACTATTAATGAGAGACTCTACAGGTCAGGATGTGTTCTTACTCAGGGATGATGGTGCATAGGTGAACTGGTGATGGGAATTTTGTAGGGATTATACCTGAGAGGAGAAAGAATGCACTGTACAAAAAGGAAGAATGATGCAAAATATATGTAAGATAAAATAAAATTAAAAACAAAACAAAACTGAAGTTTAATCTAGGTCAGAAGTAATTAAAAAATACCATATGAGATACCTCTTAATGTTAAGATTGTAAAATATCAAAAGATGTCTTAGAGCAAGTTAAAACATATAACAGACCAATTTTTGCACAGAAATCAAAACCTTTACCTGGAGGTGCAGGGGGAGGTAGCCTGGGTGGGGGTCCCCGAGGAGGAGGGCCAGGAGGCAGACCTGGAGGTGGACCTGGGGGAGGGCCAGGGGGTCGGCCTGGTGGTGGTCCTGGAGGTAAAAGACGGGGTAAAGGCCCTCGCAGTCCTGGCATTCCAGGGGGTCTGAGGAATGGAGGAGCTCCTGAAAAGAGAAAAATAATGAATTAAAGCCAAACATATATGAAGTTGTAATTGTGGCATAAAAGTGACTCAGATGTGGTTTGACTTATCACATATCGATGAAATGTGAGAATTCTTAACTGACTGAAAATGTGTGGAAACAGAATTCATTCAACAGATATCTAACAAGAAACAGGGCACTGAATTTGCTACAGATTCTTTTTATTTCCCGGGTGTGACAGAAAGTGTATTCAGTACACAATCACAATTCTCTGTTGGGAATAAGTAGAAAGAGATGAGAATTTTTAAATGGTTCCAATGTAAGCTGAAAATGGAACAAAGAACAGGATATTTTAAAGATTCCCTTGGAGCTCATTAAGATTTAAACATGGACCACTGAGAATTACCTATAAAATAGGTAATGTTTTTGTACTATTCAGAAAAGGATAAACTCAGTTGAAGAAAAAAATTTCTTTGGCCAACTGTGGAATAAAGGACAAACATAAACTCCCAAGAAGTTCTATATGCCAAAGACCAAATCTAAAGATCAAAATGACCACCCAATAATGCCCAAAGAAAATACCAATTCAGGACTGAGTCAACTGTCATAGTACTAGAAAAACTCAGTTAAATACTCCAGTTCTGCCTGCTAAGAACAGAACTAAAAATCCATGGAAAAGGAAGGGCTTTGGAGAAAAAGATGGCTTTCAAAGTGCTGAGCTCCATCAATGCTACAAGAATTAAATTGCACGTATCTTCTGAGAATCCTTGATTTCTTAAGGAACTGTACTACCAGGAAATAAAACAGGAATTCCAATGCTTACCTGGAGGTGGGCCTGGAGGAAGGCCTGTAGGTGGTCCAGGTGGCCGTAAAGGTGGGGCAGGTGGTGGTCCAAGTGGTGGTGGCCCAGGCATGGGAGGTGCTTGTATCTGAGAAGGAGGAACAGACTGCGGGGGAGCAGTCTGTGAAGCAGCAGATGTGCCATCCGAAAGGGACTCCTCTTTATGTTGTTTTTGTGATTGCTTTTCTGCTTCAGAATCATCAGAATCATCTTCATCATCATCCTCTGAAAATTCCTCTACTTCTCGTCCCTCCTCTGGGATTTCCTGACCTGAAAGAAATTTTAAGTCAGGTAAGTGAGTTAGTTAATTTTTTTTACATCTGGAAAGACAGTGATCCTAAGATATACGCTCAGGAAAGACTTTCTTAACGCTGGTAACCAAATAGTCTACCACTCCTTTGTGCTAACATAGCAAGCAGGGCAGAACAGGCACAGGCGTTATGAGAAAACAGATTTAAACGCCAGCTGGACCACTTATTAATGTCTCCAAATCTTAACTTTCATAAGACAAGATTTTAATACTTATTTCAGAGTAGCTTGGATAACAAGTAGAAAAATACATATAAAGTAACTGGTTGTCAATGCCAAATGATGACTCATAATTCCTTTTCTGCCATACCTGCCATTCGAAGCATCATAGCTTGAAGAGGAGTGAGCTCCTTCATGTTCTTCTTTTTCTTCCTTGACTTTCCAGGCATATCTGCAAATCGAACACTTAAACCTATAGGCCAGAGGAGGGAGAGGGGAGAGACTGCTATCAACAAAATTCAGTTAACATATACATAACACATACTGTGAAGCCCACACTAGACATGACTGCTGCCCACTACTTGGCAGAAAATAAGCTCAGAAAGAGAGCCAGATTAAAGATTATAGACAAAAATGCCAAGTGGTGGTAAATAAATGCTATGCTGATTTAAAAGTTAATTAAAAAATAAATAACATCATTATGCCAATAAAAATGAAATCATAAGGAAAATCTCTGAAAAAATATAAATTACTAAGACCAGTCAAAGACCAGAACATACAAAACTCTATTTCCTAGAGTTCCTAAACACCTATTTCCCTAGAGGCATCTGGCCCAAATAATTTTGAAAGGAAAAATCCTGGGTCTAGAAAATGATCCCCATGTAGTCAACAGTCAAAAAAAAAAAGCTGAAAATCAAATCAGGAATGTCATTTCCAGCCTGTGTTTACTGATAAATATGTTTAAGAAAAACCAGTTAATAAAAATAAAGAAAAAAATGGGCAAAAGACCACACAGTTCTAGAGAAAACTGCAACTGCTAAGGCTCCACTGACTTTCTATTTTCTCGTATTTTTCATTATCAGATCTCTCTACATACTTTTATTCTAGTCTTTAGGTTTGCAACTATGATTAAGAAATAGGGGGAGAAAAACTTGTCATTCTAAGTACTGATCTTAGTGGTGTTATCAATAATAAACACTGATTTAGGCTACAAAATCAATTCCAAAAGAGAAGCCTGAAGACTATGGTGGTGTGACAGAGATTATACATTTTGTACTGTTCATGGCTTTTATGGTGCTGAAATTTTTTTTGTCAAGTACATGTAAGACACCAAGACCACCAAGTTTAAAGACTTCCAACACCCCCACTTAAGCAAATTTATTAAAAAAACAATGAGTATGGTTTTCTCAATAACATACATGGTCTATTCTTTTGATTATCTATAATAGAACATTTTAAAACTGTTGAATAGCCATTATCTTCCCCCTCCAAAGTAGACTTTATTACAAATACTTTCATATTATCTATACTTAATTTTCTCCCTTTCATAGACACTGAGTACTTACTATACGGCAAGAACTTGCCAGATTTTTGAAATGTATAAATGAATAGAACTCTGATCCTTTCAAAAAGCTGAGTTTGTCATTAACAAATCAGGACCTTTGTCTTTTATGCTATTTATGATCAGTTATTGGGATTTTCAATTGCACATACCTGACTTCTTTTCTTCATTGGTGTCTCTCTCATCATCACGGTGCACAAATTCATCACCTTCGCTTTCTCCATCTGATCTGTCTGTGTCACTGTCATCAGTACTGTCATCGTGCTTATCCTGATCCATGTCCTCAGGGTAGCCATCATCTTCACTGGTGCTGGAAACATCATCATCATGTCCACGTTGGGCTGAAAAGAGAGTAGGAAACAAGGAATATGACTGGACACCCCAAAATATAGAAGACTATTCTCAATATTCTACTCAGATTAATTTGTTAAATACGTTTTCTATATACTATTCTTATCTATTTAGAGCCTGACAATATTTTTATGTAACAGACAACAGTTTAAAATTCTGTTAAGTAAGGTTTTCCTATAAAGTTTAAATTTGAAAACAAGTTTTACGTAGAAACTTGTATACACACACGTTTATAAGTGACTGATACACAATACAGTGACACTCTAGTTTGATGAAGCTAAAAAGGAAACAAATATGCAAGCACTAAGGACTTGGTAGTTAAGAGTGACATTTTTAAGGAAAGCCTAATTTTACAAGATATTACACAGTTCAACAATAAAACAATAGTGGAAAAGTTAAAAGAGCAAAAGGAACCAGAAATCCTTACCAAGTTCAGGACTATACAACATGTCTTCATCTCGCCTACGAGGAGGAAGATCTAGGGCAAAGCCCACTTTACGGCCATACATCTGCAAAACTTGAGGTGGTGGTGGCCCAGGAGGCGGGCCGGGGGGTTTTCTGCCAGGAGGCAAACGTGGAACACCATGACCAAGGAGAGGAAGGATAGAAATTGCCCGAGATGGAGGACTGTGAAGAAAATTTTACAGTAATTATGTTAACAAAGATACTTATTTTTTTCTAACAATTGTTAAGGGATTTCTTATTCACACTTAATAAAATATGGTGCTGCCTGTAGTCACACTATCTCTTATTTCCCAACACATTTTTGTCACTTGGACAGTCAATAGGTGTTTTTAATAAATGCTATTCGATTATGCTACCTTACCCATAGGCTGAAGTCTTCTTAAGGATGGAGGGTGGCTGGGCACCAGGAAGTGGAATGTCCTGGATCAAGATGTTGGAAGGTGCATGTGGCATATCTGGCAAAGGAATGCTCTCCACCTCCACATGCTGAGCATTCTGAAACAAAGTTTTTTAATGGTGTGATAAAAGAGTAATCCATAAATAACATTAAGAATCTAGCATCATTTGTTTGGTAACTTAAATTTGTTTCCCAGCTAATTACATAGGAAAAAACAACAGAAAAGCTATTCTCAAAATAGTCCATCAATTAACAGAAAAAAAAAAATCACTTTTTTCTAGAGGAACCCAAACCCACTGCTTTTCCACTCTATTAGCTGATTTTTTTGATTATGACTTGAAATTGTTTTTCAGAGAAGGTCAATTGTTAAATGTTATCTCTAGCACCTATACCACTCTACCCTATATATTCTGGATATGAGAATACTACATATCAATTAATTCAGAAAAAAGAAAATATACCAAAATAGAGGAAGCAGGGCTCTAAAATTACTCTGCTTCTTAAATTTTTGTCATATACTAGTTGTATGATACAAATCACCTTGGTTCCTTTATCTGTAAAAAGGGTGTCACTTTATCTACTTGACAAAAATTTTTACCATTTGACTTAATAGTTTTTTTTTTGAGGTATAATCTGCAATGAAATGAACACATTCAATGAGTTCTGTTTTGGAATTTCATATAAACAGGGTCTTAATTATGAAAGAAACCCATGTCTTTGCAATTTATCCATTCAATTTTTTTAATTCCATGTTTTGAGTATCAACAGATGTTTTAATTTCTCACTAACTAAATCTTATAAACATTTTAATTCATCCATTAGTTTATTAAAGGACACTCGAGCTGTTTTCAGTTTGTGGCTGTTAACGTGTGGGAAGGGAGAGTAACTTCTCTCACATAAATATGACAGATCAAATATGCTGCCCCAAAAAGTAGGTGAACCTTGCCGAGAAAGGTTCAACATGATCGTTCACCCATTGATATTTTAAAGCAAATCTAGCCATTACATTTTAGTTTATCTCTAAAAAAAAATTACCTTGACTGCATCAAAATATTGGCTAAGCTGAGCCCGCTTCTGTTCATATTCTACTTCTAATTTTCTTAATTCTTTGTAAATATCTGGATTTTCTTTTTCATAGAGTCGTAAAATTCGTTCAAAGGTCTCACGCAGTTTCTTACGTTTGTCTTTGAGCACCTTCTCGTTTAACTGTGGTTGCTGCACTGGGTTAAACTCTATAGAGGAAAGAAAAGACAGATTATGGCATCAAACATAAAAAGGTCATTTCATTTAAGTATCAATGTGATATACCCTTTAATAAAAACTATTCTTTATGCTGCCTTAAAATTTATTTATGCATACAAGAACTGGGGTACAAGGCGAGAGGTGCAGCTGTGTGTGTGTGTGTGTGTATTGCTCTGCTAGGAGATCCTTATGCTAATCTTTTCAAAAGATATCTAGACATCAGATACTCTTCACAATTAAAAAAAAAAACAAAAGATTTTAAAATTCCATCCTTTTAAGATAGCTTTTTATTTTACTTGTTTTCTCAACAGAGTAGATCTCAAAACTCATCACAAAGAAAAAAATCCTAACTATGTATGGTGATGGATGTTAACTTACTGTGATCATTTCATGTCATATAGAAATCATTATGCTATACACCAAAAATATACTATTAATTGTATCTCAAAAATATTTTTTCACTTTAAAAAAATGCTAAATTAACCTACTCTCCACCCCACCCCCCAGCCTTTTTACATTTTAAAAGGACAGGTTTACTAGGAAAAGGAGAAAGAATAAAAGAGAAAAATCGGTGTAGACATAAGCAGGCTGTCTTGGGATGACAGTTTCATTTACTCAAAGAACTAGACTTAAGAAATGCCTGTAGAAACACAGGCAGGAAGGACAGCAGGAAGGACAGCTTTCTTTCAACATCACTATAAAAGTCAATTTTCACTCCTACACTGAAAAACTGGTGTACTAAACTTTCAGTGAAACAGATCTGGCTTTATATACTACAGTGTTTTCATAATCTCATTCTGAGATCCTGGGTACTCAAGTTCCCTCAACTTCAACGTCCTCATCCTGAAAAATGGGGCACAATTATTTCATAAGAAAGCTTTGATGATTAAATGGAGTCTCAGAGTATCTAGTGGCTCACCATTTATTTTTATAATGGGCCAGTTTCTTTTGTAGCTACCATATAACCTCCTCTCTCTCTCTCTCTCTCTTTTTTTTTTTTTACAACATGGGGTTAATTTCAGGTACTCCACCCCAAGAGGGATCAGCACAAAAGTTTTATACCTGAAATCATACTTCCTGTATCCTTGCCAGTCAGAATAAAAGATCAACTGGCACTTTATGCTAGAGACCACAGCCCTGTGACATTTTCAATGAAGGTGTAGTAGAGAGAAGCACTTACAAACTGGTATAAATTAGAGTTGTCTGTGGCCTTGTCTCCCAATCACCGCTAATTCCATACACAGATTCCACCTCCCAGCCTAAGAGGTTTATCAGGAGAGTGAGGCTAACTCATCAGACTAGACAGATGGACAATCTTGATAATGACAGCTGAGTTTTAAAAGTGACTGACTTATGGGATTTACCAATTATAGGAGTAAATAAAACTTTTCTGTATAATTTCTATTTAAATTCTGTATAATATTGCCCTGAAAAATTTTAAAATCGTAATTAAAAACCTAGTGAAGTGTTCGCCTCTTCTTTTAAAATAAATAACTGCTCGTCTTATAAATCCTATGAACCTTGGTGATTTATTTAAAATCAGAAGGTACCACCTCCTACACTACTACACTATTCCTAGCATGGTTAATGAGTATCAACTACTTGAATTTTAACTTCAGCCTTACCATGTCCTAACAGTGTGACCTTAAAGGAAGATACATAATCTCTCTGTACCTGAGTTTTCTTACTTGGAAAAGAGGTACAACACATCAACCTCAAAAAGTGTGAGGATTTGTGAGGATTAAATAACATGGGGAAAATCAGTGCACAGTAAAGTAGAGCTCAAGGAACCCCAGCTATCATCTCCTTTAAAAAATATCCACATTGGGCAAATAAATCAGATTTAATATGTATGTGAAAATCAGTTTTCATATGGGAAAGGTATGCTTCAAAATAGCAAAAATGAGACCAAGTTAAACATGTAGTCTTTTTTTTTAATGTGCACTTGGTCTTTTGTTAGTGTCTGTTTTATTCTACTAGAATGCAAAGCATTTCTTCCAGATTAAGTTGCAGATGTAGACTTTACAATATAATTCAATAATAAAAAATTAACCTCTAGTTTTCTCATTGCAATAAATGCTTTACATATAGCACAAAAAAAATCCACATAAATAGATATTAAGTAAACAATATGTTGACACCCTGGGTCAGTTTTATCCCCAGTGTTATTTACATCATAGGCAACAACTTGAATCAGTTATGGTGAACTAAACTAGTAAAGTTTTGTGAGCATCCAGAACCCAGAACTCTTACCCGGGTAGCTGCACAAGTCCTGCTACATTTTTAAGAAACTTTTTAATATCATAACCCTACAATTGGATTTATTGAAACCCACTGAATGCATCACTAAGGAGATTCACTGTACTTCTTTCATTATCCCTATTTTTAGACAAATCATTGAACCAAAATGGGTATATTAATAAACACAATTTAATAGGCAATGAAAAAAAGGTAAGAGGCACAGAAGACAAAATTGGCAAAAACTTGAAAGCTGAAAAGCACATATTGAATTAGCTACACTATTTCAACTTTCTTCTTTTTTAAAAAGATTTATTCATTCAAACATATAGAACTGGGATACAGGCCAAAGGTACAAGGGTGGTAAGAAGATTCACCAGAGACAAAGCGGGGGGCAGAATAGGCAGACTGATGAAGAACACTGCTGAGCGGAGCAGCTGGGAGACAGGAGAGGCCTGCCACACCATGTGGATCATCTACCTGCAGGGGGATCAAACTCATGCCGAAGCGGCTACAGATAGCTTCCTAGTGCTGCACTTTAACTTGATGTGCCACCAGGGAGGGCCTATTTTAGCTTTGTTAAGTTAAATTCAAAAACAGAACACTAAACAATCGTTATGTCCCAATACTAAGAGACCAATTACATGCAGGCTGGGATAAAATTTCCAGTACCGACACACACAGGCTCTCAAGCAACTAGGACATAAGACAACATGCAGTGGCTCCAGTTATGATAAAGCTGTTAAGATGCAGGTGCACATGTGAATAAAATTGTACCATGAAATGTAAAAATGGGAGGGAATTTTAGTATGATTACTTTATAAAATTTGATTTTAAACTTGCTATTTTTCTTTTATCTAGGTTCTTCGGAACCTCTCATTGGAAAAACACAAATGGACTTACATTTATAGTGGCAAAATACTTAGAAGGTAGTTGCCAAAAGTAAAAAAAAAAAAAAAAAAAAAGGCAAACAAAAATTCTAAGTGATTTCAAAACCAAGATTTCAGTCTTCTCTTAAAACGTGAGCAGGCCAAACTGGCTTCCATCACATTGTAGCTACAAGTTGTTCAAGCTCAACAATGACCTCCCATTTATTGTAGATGAGTTCTTCAGTTTGCAATAGATCCCACCCGTCCAGAGTCTTCCTGACACTAAAACTAAAGCTGAGCATCAAATGCTATCATGGTTTTTTCTTAGACTTATGCTGCTTCATTTATTACCTGATTGCCAGCCTTTCTTTCTCCCCCCCTGCTATAAATATAGACCTTTTATTAATCTTTACCCATTTCATCCAATTTCTCCATGTCCCGGATAATCTGTTTGGGATCTTTCATCTTCAGAACTGCAGCTCGTACCATCATGCGTTGCTTTTTGTTCTTAGCAAAAGGAAAAGGCAGAATGTCAAGAAGCTGGGTATTCATGAGTTTTTATTTTAATTTGCTTTAAGAATTCATTTAAACTGAAACTGAACTTTTTCAACCACCAGAAAAAGGGGTATGTAATTTTTTTGCTCTCAAAAAATGTTTCAACTTTAGAAAAAATTAATGCTATTCATTAAATTTGCTTACTTAGATTAAGTATTTAACTTTGTGAGATCTTTAATGTTTTCCTAACAACAAATTTAATTTTTTTTTTAAAAAAAGATTGGTACTAAGTTCTAAAACTATTTATTAGAGAAATTTTGAGGATTTAATGTTAAATAAGGAAACAGGAACACACAATTATAAACTATTAAAAATCTGAGTTCTCTGAATATTAATTGTGTTACTTGGGTATAATACTAAAAAGTAAGTCCTTTCTTATTCTGGGGTAGCACTTTGCCACAAACTGAAAATGTTTACATAATCAGAAAAAGGAGTACATACTTATTATCATCCAGTAGCTTATCTATTTACTTATTCATTCATTCATACAGAAATGGGGTATACAGGCCAGAGGTACAGGGGTGGTGAGAGGATTCACCAGAGACAGAGTGTGGAGCAGAACAGGCCGAATGATGAAGTATACTGCTGAGGGGAGCAGCGGACGGGCCAGGAGAGGTCTGCCACGCCATGTGGATCACCTCTGGTGCAGGTGGGAATCGAACTCATGTGAAAAGTGGCTTTAGATTCTTAGTGCTGTGCTTTAACCCGTTGCACCACCAGGGAGGGCCCTCATCCAGTAGCTTTTAACAAAGCATTATTGCAATTTTTCAAAGGTATTTAACTCCTTTGGGAAATGTAACCAATGTTACAAACCCCTGTCAAACATCTATTTCACTTTCAACTATGGTATTTTGGCTTAGGAAATTAGCTAAAGCAGCACAAAGGACCTTTTGTGGCAAATAACTGAAAATGTTATTTTGAAATCCATTAATCCCAAAAGACAGTATATTCCAAGCAACACTTATAAATAAATAATACAATACTTCTGAAATCCTACCTTCTTTAATTCTCTCTTCCGGGCTTCCTTTCCTTAAGAGAGAAAAAGAAAATATCAAAACCTTTAAATCCTGAACAACAATACTTTCTCCAATTTAACACCAGTAAACCTTCAGTGGAGGCTTTCATGCACATTGTTGGGTATTTACTATATACCTGGCCTCTTACCCACTAGATACCAAAAATATCCTTCTAATTGTATCAACTAAAAATGTTAAGAAATGTGTTTCAAGTTTCACTAGAAAGGAGCTATGAAAAGAAACAGTTGCAAAACAAATCTGTTCAGAATTTCAAATCTAAAAACAAACCTTTAAGCAAATCAACTGAAAGTACTGATACTGATTTTTCTGGACCTTAAGTTTTAATCATGTGCTCACAAAAACAAGGAACAACTGAATCTTAGAACACTGTTGATTACTTATTAAGATAATGAAGCAGACTCCCTGAAGCTTGCAATTTTTTGTAACCACACTTCCTTCATCATTCCTTTTTAACAGACACTTACGGGCCTGGTCTGTGGGGTTCATAAATTTTCCACTCTTGGTGGATGATGTCGATCTCCGTCCCATGTTGACAATTTGTATGGTTTTACTCGTTCATTAAAAAAAAAAAAAAAAAAAAACCTGCAAGGACAAAGAAAGAAGTAATTTTTCTTCTATTTGCAAGATTTCTTCCTTTACATTTATGAAATTTCATTCAACTCTGAAAAGGAACATTCCTTTGATTATCTTTTGAAACCTTATTCTCTCCCTTGTCTTGACTCTAGTGTCCAAGATGACCTCAGCTTTCTCACCATGAAAAAGCATCATTAACTCCTATAGCTTATGAGTTAAGATCATCCTGAATATCATTAAGTCACTACTTTCAACTTTTTTGAACGACAGCACACTGAAAGAAAAAAAAATTAAAATACTTCAACAATATGGAACACACCATTGCATGAGAAAAGCCACTGGTCCTTTTACAATATCCTCCCTTTACATGTAGAGTGTAAGAGAAATAAAGAGGATATATTAATGACCTGGACTTAATGGCAAATAGTTCACCCTAGATTCAATAGCTGTTTAACTTGGCATGTATTTTCTAACACCTCTGAGTAAAAAAATCACTAATTTAAGTATATTCAATTCAGGTTTAGCTTTAATTCAGATATAATCCTTGATGTTCAAAAGCTTAAAACAACTAAAATGCTAATATTTCAAATTAAAGTATGACCTGAGGGACCTTCCTTTAGAATTATATGTATTTCTTTTACTAGTACCCCTTTGGTTTCTGATTTGTTTTTTTAAGGGAACTTTAAGGGATAAATGATGAAAAATATCTAAAAGCACAATTTGTATTAATCTACACTATTATGTCACCTCTTCCTCTTATTCTAAATGAATGAAACTTAACTTTTGATATTTATTCTTTCCAGTAGTAAAGGGTGACATACATCCTTTCTTATTAAAGTGGACACTTTCAAAAGGTGGGAAAGGGAAGAATACAAAGTATTCTTTCATCAAGTGCTCAATTAACTTACTTTCTGCTAAATTCATCAACCTATTTCAGTGTCAAATAATTTACCGCGTCAAGTTTCCTGAGAAAAACCAGGAATGAAGGCGGAAACAAAATGAATACAAATACAAGGTCGCCCATCTTGATGGTCTCAATCTTTTTTGCTTTCCTCCTTTCATTACCCTCAGATTGCTGTTTTGATCCTCCTCTTCCACAATGAAACACAAACAGATACGATTTACGGAGAATGTTTACAGAAAACATGATAGCCTCAGTGTGCACGAACGACTTTTCTGGTACAAAGGCAGAGGGGGTCGAGCCACAAAACCGTGGAGGACCCTGAACAGTCAAAGGCTCCAGTGGGATGGAGCCTACGTCTACAAAAGGCGGCAAACGCGGTAGCAACTGCCGAAACCATAGCGACGGTTGACCCTGACTCGAGGTGCAAGACTTCAAACCTAAGTAACCCGCCAACGTGCACAGGGCGAAGACCGCGTCAAACAGACCAAGCAAAGGCAGCCCGTTAACCGCCGGACGCCGCGCTGCCAAAAGCTGGGAGACTTCCAGTCCTCGACCCGGGAGACCCCAACCGCGGAAAGGAAGAGCCGGATAGAGGGGCCTAGTGTCCCCGAGGCAACCGCGCGGGCCCCAAGGGAAGCACGAGGAAGACGCAGAAACTAAGCGGAACCACGCCGCACACTCACACTTCTGTTGGGCTTCTGGGACTGGGAGAAGCGGGGAAGGGACGATTCGCGGCCACTTTTATTTGGTAGAGGCCTTCACCTCTGCCTCTCGGTCAGCCACCCAGCCACCGCCATCTTGAAACCTCGCGCCCCTCCGCCATCCTTACGTCACTTCCGGTCCCTACGAGTCGACGAACGCGGCGTTTCTCCTCCCGGAACCATAGAGAGTAGGCCAGAACTGCTGGATAAGAGATGCTTCCGTTCCATTCTTACACCGAATTGGTTGGATATTAGCTGAAATCCCGCCCACATTACGCAGGGGCGGGCACGCTCTGACCTTATTTCCGGCCGCTCCATTCAGTGTGGCTCCAGACGCGGGCTGGGTTGCTATAGGCAGGTGTTTTGTGTTGTTTTAGTCTCACGAGATTGCGTTAGTTTTTGGCTTTTCTTTCTTTTATGAAGTGAGCTGGTGCAACCTCTTGGGAGTGTTTAAAATCCCAAGGTAACAGTAGTTACCGTGTTCGATGTTGCTTTGCTAGCGTCCGTTCGTCTGGAAATTCAGCAGTTTACTGACACTTATTTGTATGAGCCAAGCAAATCAGTGTCCACATTAGCGCCCAGGTTGCTAATTTACAGTATTCATTTTTTTTTTTGAAGAGGAAGCGTGGGGATGAACATTTTCAAAGCAGTAACTAATACAGTTTTATCTTGGTGTAAACGAGTGTGCCTAGTAAAGATTGGGATATAGAACAGGCTTATTAAACGGGGACACGTTGAAGGCAGTTTGAAGTTTGAATGGTGAGGGTTTGTAGTGCTGTTTTTTTCTTCTGGTCTCTTCCTTCACCCGCCAGAAGGCCTTTATGATGTCACTACACATACGGGGGCTTTTCACTTTAATCTTCATCCTCTTCTCTAAAGTCTCCTCCCTTTTTTACTCTTTAAAGGTAAGGTTAAATACTTTTAAAGTACGCTTGAGGACACTTTTGAGTCTACTTTTGCTGGTCTTCATTTGAATATTCCTTATAAGAAAGTAAGGTAGCTATAACCCAATTGTTACTACTTTTAGTTATAAATATTCAACAATCTTAAAGGTACATAGACATATTTTACAATCATGTTTTTTAACTGTATTAAGCTTTGTTCCTTAGCTAAACCTTTGTCTTAGAAAGTTTTCCTTGAATTGAAAATGAATGTAAGTCTCAGAACATTAACAAGGTACAATATAAAAGCTTATGTCAGAGGGTAACATATTTTATAGGTAAATTGTTGGCATTTTGGAACTAGCTTAAAAGAGCAGTGGCAGAAGAGAAAGGAGTACATTTGAAAAAGTATTTAATCTAGATTTTAAAATTTCAAGACATTTCTTTTAAGAACATGGGATGTAAGAACCAGCTATAACAAATTCTTGCATCGACATCTGTTATTAGTTTTCTAAGTAGAAGATAGGCAAAGTTAGTAGTTGTGAATTTATAGAATGAACATGTGATCTGCAGAAATTCAACCAAATAATTAGATTTTGTAGCTTCTGGGTTTTTCTGAAGTCAGGAATTAATGAAATGGGTCACCTGAAGTTTTGTTTTTTTAAAAATTTATTTATGCATACAAGAACTGGGTTACAGGACAGAGGTGCAGGGGTCAGAGGATTCACCAGAGACAGAGCGGACAGCAGAACAGGCAGGTCCACGAAGTACACTGCTGAGGGGAGCATCTGGTGAGACAGGAGGGGTCTGTTGTGCCATGTGGGTTAGCTCCCTGGCTGGGGATTGAACTCATGCTGCAGTGGCTGCAGCTAGTTTCATAGTGCTGCACTTTAACCCTTGCTCCACCAGGGAGGGCCTTCATTGAAGTTTTATAGAGAAAAAGTTGTTTCCTCCTGCTAGTATTGGAAACAAAATTTCATTTGTCTGTATAGTTAGTAAGGTATTTATGATTTTTCTTTAAATTCTTAAAAGCAGCAATTTCCTGTCGTGTGTCCTAAATGCATTTTATGCGTGTAGAGCTGGGATTTGCTTGTTTTTAATGTTCCAGACTGTTCAAACATTCACTTGAGGACAGTTTATCACACTAAAACTAGTCAAGTTTGATTGCAACCTTTATAAAAGTCCATCCAGGCATTAGTGTAATTAGTGGAAGTTGTAACCATTGTGTCCTTTCAAGTAAATTTTTACAAGCCATTTCAGTTTGTTCAAGTTTATAGAAAATTGGATTGAAACTTGGCCAGAATTATTTGCCATTAGTATTTCTATCCCATTGGATGGCCCAGGATTTTTGTCTTGGTCGGCGTATTATGCCCCCATAGAACAAGATGATGTCTGAGGGTTATGGTAGGAATAAGTCTCTGAATTTAATGTAAATTTAAGGATTTGGGAAATGAAAAAAGGAGAAGGTAACTCCTATACCTGCTGCTCCACCACAGCATTTATCCTGACATCCTTGCAAATCTAGGCACTCATGTTGGTAAAAACTAGACTCATCAACTAGTTTTACTAGCTCAAGTTGTTTGCTATATTTATCTTCATATTGAAAACTTATAGAAAATGAAAGTTAAAGAGGCAAAATGCTGTTACTGGAGAGAAGCAGAAAAATATTCCTGTGGGCAATGTTTATTTCGTTTGCTGTCTCACTGTCTTGGTGACCTCAGTAATGGCTTGATGATATTTTTTGGAGGCAGACTTGAATTCCACCAGATGCTTCTCATAACTTTTGATAGCTGCTTGAAGCTGTGTTTTCTCCACTGCTCCCAGGATGGCACGGATGATCATGTCTATGCCAAGGCTAAGAACAGCAACTCCTATGCTGCCAAGGAGAGAAGCACCAATTTGAGCTAATACAGCGACCAGCTTGTTAATTATGCCAGTTGTGATGTTTGAGCCCACAAGTTTAACAGCCACTGCACTGGCGGCAGAAGTTGCTTCTCCCAGGATGACTGAAATAACCTTTTGTACGATTGCAATTTTCTCCGTTTCCTTTTCCTTAATATCCTGAAGTTTTCTATAAAGGGTTGGCTCTAGTTTATCTTTGAGCGCCTCATCAACCTTTTGCAATTTCTTTTGGATATTTACCATGGCATGGATGATAATATCACAGTTTTCCTTGATACTCCCATCTCTTTTCATCTCTATGAAGTCCAGTCTGCACCCCAGGTGCATGTTTAAAACTCCAATCAGCTTATTGGTGGCATGGAAGCTGTCAGCTAAGCAGTCAAGGAGCTGTTGATGAAGACGGTTTACTTGCTGCCGTCTCCTTGGGTTTTCTGGATAGAGGAGGTCACTCTGAGCCATATTCAAATATGATCTCTGAAAAATAATAAATCTTCACTAAGATCTTGAAAAATAGTTGTTATTTGCATGCAGTTGACAGGAATGTGCTTACTGCATGCATAGGAAAATGACACCATAGCATCTAAGGAATACCTCAGAAGACTCAAGAAGTTCTTCCAAGTAATTATTTTTATGAAACTTGGAATTAGTGTACGGAGAATGTGAGTAACAGCACAGTGTGTTGATCTTATTTAGTGCATTAGATTTTCTGGTAGGGAGAAAGCCTAGCTAGAAAATATTTGTGTTTATCAAACATCTGATTATCAATAAATACATTTGTTTCCTAACTACTAGCGCACTTGAAACAGTCTGCAGTTTGAGATGACTAGCTAGCGCACTTGAAACAGTCTGCAGTTTGAGATGACTAGCTATGGATCACAAAGGAGCTATCATTTCTTCAGTCCATAGTCATAACATTGAATAGATGGAATTCTCAAATGTTTAGAGTTATATCAGTAGGGCCGGAGGAATAAGGGAGACCTCTGAGTTTATAGGAATGTAAAAATCTAATTTATATACTATTTCCTTAGTTGATAATATCCAAATAAGTTTGTATCTCATTATGGGCAAATTATTTGTTTTCCAAACCTAAGGGAGATATCCAAATGCAATCTACTAAAAACATTGGAATCTTAACAAAAATATCCTCATGATCAAGATTCTTTGGATTGAAATACCACAGGGGAAATAGTGGTCATGGTGCAGGAAATACTGTAGTCATTACTATCTGATTCTCTTTTTGCCAAATTAGAAGTTAGTTAGAATGATCTATACTGCCCTTGGCCTTTACTATAAACTACACTAGGTATGCTCAGAACGAAGATAATGCCACTGCACCAACATATTGTGTACATCATGGAGTGAATAAGCCTGATGGGAATCTTACTGTGTTTATATTTCTGGCTCTGAGTTCCAAGTGAGGAAAGACAAACCAGCCTGTCCTTTTTGAGCTTATTTGGGTTAAAAACATAAGTTTGACCCCAGTAAGAGTGTTACTCAAAATGCGTATATTGTGTAGCCTTACTATCTGTCTAGCACTTTTTTTTTTTTTTTTGACCTTTTGGGAGAAAAGGAAAATGAGATCTTCTGTGTCTCTGTAGGATCTGGCACATTCCCTCTGAGTAAATAACATAAATTTGGGCTTTAACTCACATAGGGTCATGATTATTAGTCTAGCTATGAGGAATCTCAAAAACAATAGATAAATTATTGAAGAAGCTTTTCGTTTCAAGAAAGTAAACTTTCCTTTCATAAAGGTAGAATTTGGAAATGGAAACAAGAAAAAAATTAGGAAAATAATCACCTCTGCTGTTTTAAAAATTTTCTGGTATCTCTGGCAGAATAAACTTTATTGCAAAAAAGAAGTTCTTTTTTGTCTATAAGTTGTATCTAGTACACACACATATACTCCATGTTTGTGACTGACACAGATTTCCACAAAATGGTGCTTAAAATGTACCTGTTTCATTTTAAAGAAACTTCTTGTTGAGGGTCTACTAAATTTAAAACTTACTCTTGGGTTGCCATATGCAATTTGATAATTGCAAATTCAGACTTTAACTTCCTTTTCTTCTAGAAATTTTCCATTAAATCTATTTTTTTTTACATGTTTCTGGCTTCTATTTTTCAGACCTTATCATGAAAGGAAAGCTCCAGTTTCTGACTTTAAACTCAGGAGATCACCAGCTACATCCTTATTTGGATATTTAGGTAAGATGAATTTTTCTTACCCTGAAAATGTGAGGATATTTCTAGCAGCTATCATGTGCCATTATCCAGCAAGTGGGTGTTGTTCTATTTCCCTCAGGATAAACAAATGGAATGATGAACATTCCTCATAGCTGGGGTGTTGAATGTTTCCAGATGTTGAACTCCGTCCCAATTAATTAATTATTTTAATGCAAACTGATAATAAAAAAATACATCTGAAACGCTGAGTAAGGTGAAAGTATTTTTTTTTTTCAGGAAAAGTAATGAGATTTTCCATTACAAGATAAGAATTATTTCATTGTTTGCTCTTTAATTAATTCTGTAAAACTGATGGCATCTATGTTTCCATACTAATTTCCTCAGACATGCTGATCACTGGCAATATTTTAAAATACTGGCTGGTGCTGGACAGGTGTAAGAGTGGATGGAGTCATGGAGTCCCCAAAGTAGATCCTTCTATACATTTGACAAGATATAATAAATGCAGATTTTCAAATAAATAGTAATTGAAGTTGTTTCTTGAATGGTCTTGGCATAGTGGACTTGTCTTTGGGGGCTAAAAGTTGATTTAAAGGGGCATCAGTGTATCATGTAAAAAAAATAGAAAAATGCTGATTATGTCTATAGGGAAGAGGATTTTATAAACTTAAAGGAAAAAGTCACATAAAGTTGTGATTAGAAATGATAACCATTTAAAAAAAAACCCTGAAAGCCTGAAAACCACCTAGGAATAATGCAAAAAAAATGGAAAATGATTAACTTCAAAGAATTCCTATTAATAAGGAATAATAGCAAACGACACTGAACAATAAAATAGTAACTAACAAGTTGGTGAAAAGTTCAATCTTGCCAGAAGTCAAAGAAGTCTAACTTTTATAAAAATATTATTTTTTCCTTTATGTATTAAAGCCTTTGCACATGCATGTTTATATTCTTACTGAGTCCTGACAGCAGTTACAATTTTGTGCCAATGACGAATGATTTCCATCCCAACAATGAAAGAACAAATGTTAGAGAAGTGGGAGAAAGAGAGGTAGAGTTTGGAGGTGAAACCAATTTAGTTATTTCTTAGGTAAAATTTGAAGATGTTGATGAAGGAAGCAATTTTGCAATTGAGTAACAGTTTTCATAATTAAAGAGGTGGCCCTTGCCTTGTGCAAATTCAAAGAACCCTTTAATATACATTGACACTTAGGCTATAGGGAAACACTTGGTTTTCCAGGGAAGGTTAGCAATTTGTACCTTCTCATATGGATACTCCTAAATGTGCTCCACTAAATTAATGTGGCCGTACACCACATGGAAGCCGTACCTGGCAAGGTGTCTCTCTATTACTGCTCATATCACTTTAGTTCTGAAGCTCAAATTGCTTACTTCACTCAGCAAAATGTAAGTCCTGCAGTTAAATGGCACAAGCATTGTTATTTGATTGTGCCTAAGAATAGCAGTTGTGAGCCGTCTACTCTTAATAACATTCTCAAGGATGATTCATTGATGATTGAAAAAATTCAATCTTTTGAAAGTATTTTTAAAGTCATTCTAAAAATGACTGAAAAAAAAATCATCAGTACTAGCAGGTGATGTACTTAACCTAGCTCTAATTGCCTGCACCTTTTATATGCCAGTTGTCACATGATAGTAAGTGACATATGTACTTTGGGCAGCTGCACAGCAAAATTTGAGCTGTTACTTGAATATTTAATTTTAGAGGCTCGGAAACAGGCTCTCTAGAGCCCTGGGGTGACTCGATGGGGAACTGCTAGCCAGTAGGTGGAGCTCCTGGTCCCGGCACATGCAGCTTTTGCTGAAGACTTTCTTGCTCCCATATTTGGGTTGTGAGTGGGTAAAATTTTTATTTGAAGGGAGAATTCTGTTGCATAAATACAGTTTGAAAATCACATGTATTATATAACAAGATCAATTGTATCTTGCTGTTTTGTAAAATAAGCAAAGCAAACCTGGGAGTGCTTCTAGCCCTGATCAGCACATCTTAAGAAATTGGAACAAAACAAAAATTGGATCAGATTGAACTTAATCGTCAACTTAGTTAAGTTGTGAGGTAAATACTAAAGATTAAAGAGCATATATGTGTGTGTGTGGGGGGATACATATATCCCCCCCCCCCAATTGTGGAAACATTGATCATTTTTTTCTATAGGTAAGCTTTATTTAGTGATACAGTATAAAATTTTCAGGAAAGGAGCCACCTTGTAAAATGAAAATATAAAATATTATGACATTCAGATAATTCTCAGAATGCTTTTGTGAATAACAGTGAATCAACTATCACATGCCACAGGAATTAAAAGAAATTAATGTCAAGGTGGTTAAAAATAGTATGTGATATTTATTGTGATGGTAGCCTTACAACCGAAAGAAACTAGATGATTAATAAAATATTTTTAAACATAAATTCAATAGCAATGTTATGGAAGCACTTTAAAATAGAAAAGAAAAATACCCATATACCCATCTATCATTTTAATTTTTTGATATTCCTTTCCCTGTTTTATTTAAATGTGAATATTTTTACAAAGATGCAATAGTAGTACAAATGAAATTTTCATCTTATATTAGTTTATTAAATATTCTTTTGTATTTCTAGTTTTAAAAACATTTTATTGATTACATAAATACTCCAACACTGTCTTTACCATAATTTAATAAATCCCCAATTGTTTTGTTTCAGTACATACTATACTGATGAGCATTTTAATGTGTTTTTTTCCCTGTTTATTATCTAGATTATTTTCTCAGGGTCTATTTTCATAATAAGTATAATAAATGGAAATTAAACTTTTTATTATTTCTAATATGTATACAAACTACATTATGAAAACTTTTGTACTGCCACCTAGAATAAATTTTTACAGCGAGATATTAGGTCTGTTTCTAAGTTAAGATGGTCTTCCTTATTAAATAAATGTTATTTTGGAGAACTTAAGATGAAATTTCAAAAAGAGGTGCTTTCTTTCCTTGTAGGAATACTATAATGATGATATGATCTCTAAGATCTACTTCCAGATAATCTGAAAAGGAGGGTAGAGATACAGAGAATATAGGGTTGACTTTGTTTTTGGTAATTTTTGAAACTGGGTGGGTACATGCAGTTTATATTATTGTTTCCACATCAGTGTATCTTTGAAATTTTCCTTTAATCATTAAAACACATGATCCTAAAAAAAAAAAATCCTTTCTAAACCTCTGATGTTTGTCACACTAGTTCTCTCTGCTTCTCCCTGCTTTCATTTTTCCTGTTTGTTCCAGCTGTTAGGCAAATGTCACTTACCTGAGACTGTAAGAATGAGGTATATGTAAGGTCAGAAGCTTATCAGGAGAAAGTAGCAACTATTATCTAGTTATGAGCCTCCTTCACTTTATTTAAATAAAAACAATCACAAACGCAAATTGATTGTGGTGTGACAATACATTCTCTGATATAAATTCTTTTAAAGATTATTTTTGGTCAGAGAGAAGAATGTCAAAGTCAGCACCTTCACGGCTCACTTGGGAAACTTCTAGATGCCATGTGGCATCTAAAAAGGCAGTATTCCTTTCCCTCAAAAGAAAAAAAAATTCTGGAGGCACAGAGCAAATATGCAGTGAAATTTTTCAATGTAATACAACTTATGAAGGTATATAACACTGTACACTAACTTGTATTAGATTGCACATTCATTCTTCCACAGATCTTGAGTGCTTCTATGATTATTATAAGAGGAAATGTTATAATTATGTGCATGAAATTTTCACACAGGTGTCATTCCATCCTTAATCATTTCTAAAATTGATGTCTTTATGGCTATCTTCCCCTCTAACTTTTAATTAGTTGTAAAACTGTTAAATTTCTTACTTACCTGGTATCTTCAGAGATCTAATCACTAGGAACATACCATGGGAACATCTTAGAACAGTTATTTTGTTACTTCGTTATATTTATAGCTATAATTAAAGGTTGACCTACTATTTAAAATTCTCTTTAATGTGGGGAGAGGACAGAGGATTATATCAATACCATTGGAAATACCCACATTGCCTACCTTGCTGTGTTTCTGAGTTCAGTTGTCCCAGTGAAGGGTTAGCAGTATTGTTGAGGCACTTTTTCATGTGATTTCATCTGGATGTTTCTGATGGAATGTGATGACTTACAGGCTTTGTTAGTGTCTGCTGGGTCCCTTTGCCTGTCAGGTTTATAAGTTACTTCTGTATGATTTAGTTCTCAGAATTGTCCTCTTGCCTATATTAATATAAAATTAATATAAATTAGCTAACAATTTGAAAGACTAACATAAACATAATTTTCTTTTCTTCAGTGGGCTTTTTATTGGTGGAAAGTGCTTATCAACTGAGCTAACTCACTTCAGTAGAGAAGTGGGTTCTATAACTGCAGCTATTGTTTTGGGATTCCATCTGTCAATTATTCAAGCCTCTAATTCTCTTTTCAGAAGGATACTAATCCTGTTGTATTGGGCTCCATGCTATGACTTCATTCAACCTTAATTATCTCCTTATAAAATACCATTTCCAAATAATAGACATAGTTTTGCTAGTACTTCAACATAAGACTTTGGGAGAAGGGGACACACCTGAGTTCACAGCACAAGAGAAAGGGGTGATGATTGGGCAGAATTCTGGAGGAGATGCAAAAAGGATAATGAACATTCATTAGAGACATCAGCACTTTGCAGCCAAGAGAAAAGCTTATAATGAAAGTGCAGAATATTTTTAGACAGGACAGGCATTTTGGGAGGTTGCATCAGACAACTTTGTCTTCTTGGGTTGTCTAAGAGAAAGACACCAAAAAACCCTTCAGTGAAGATAAGCTCAGAGGTCTGTGGAATGTTCTCTTGACTATGCAGCAGCTGATGGTTTAAAGAAGTGTACTTGAACTTGTTTTTGGATGTGTTTGACCTTTTATTTTTAGTTATTTTAATGGTTATATTTTTGCTGTTACATTCAAGTGTCACAGCCTAATTAAAGATTACATGATAAAGAAGTAAATGAAGTATAAAAGGGGGGGGAGAAAACTCACTCTGAGTTTTTCATTTTAATCATTCCCTTTCTGAGATGTTTGTATTAAATCTGAAACAGTCCCTCCTATTTGAATTAGTTATTTTTACCTATAGCACCAACTCATGTATTTTTGGGGCCAGTATGCAGGCCATTATCTTTTTGTTGCTTCATTTCTCTGGGAGAGTCCTGGTTTATGCCTCTTCTCAGCATAATACTGTTAGCATCCCTTTTCACTACATCCTGGTTTGAAGGATAATTTATACAGTTACCTTACCCATAGATGTTTGTATCCACCTCCAGGATCAATTGCTTTAATAATACCAATAATGGTATTTCAGGTTGGTGGCCCTCCCTGATGGCACAACTGGTTAAAGCTCGCACTGTGAAGCTATAGCAGTCACTGCAACATGAGTTCGATCCCTGGCCAAGGAGGGGACCCACATGACATGGCAGACTTCTCCTGACCTGCCCACTGCTCCCTTCAGCAATGTATTTCAGTGCATCTGCCTGTTTTTCTCCCCATTCTGTCTCTGGTAAATCCTCTCATCTGCGCCCCCCCCCATCTCTGGCCTGTACCCCAGTTCTGTATGCATAAATAAAATAAATATTAAAAAAAACATTAGTAGTTAACTTTGGGGGAGGAATGACTAAATGGGGATTTCACAGAAAGGAATATTTCTTAAATATCAGCTTTTGAAAAGACTCTCATACTCTTTGCTCTTGCTATTTATATTTCTGACTGCTCCTTCCTAAGATCTTTTATTTGTTCCTCTTTGCACTTTTTGAGCACTCTAATCAGAATACTCAAGGTTTGGCCTCCATATTTTTTTTTTAAAAGATTTATTTATTTATTCATACAAAACTGGGCTGCAGGCCAGAGATGCGGAAGGTGAGAGGATTCAACAGAGACAGAGTGGGGAGCAGAACAGGCAGATCGACAAAGTACACTGCTGAGGGGAGCAGTGGGCGGGTCAGGAGGGGTCTGCCGCGCCCTGTGGTCACCTCCGGGGCAGGCGGGGATCGAACTCATGCGGCAGTGGCTTTAGCTTCTTAGTGCTGCGCTTTAACCAGCTGCGTCACCTGGCCTCCATATTTTTATACCTTCTCATTCACCTTGAACAATTACCTGTACTTCTTTGATTGTTAAATACTATTCCCATGGTTACCAATTTCTCCATCTTTGGGGCTCCCTTGTTAGTGGACTTTCTTGTCCTGAGAAACCTATTTAAGGTCCTCATCTACCCTTTACTTATATACTATTGTTCTATTTTGTCAGTCTCACTTGCTTTGTCTTAAAATGTTTATATTTTGTTTCTGAAGACAATTGAAGAATACTGGTTAACTTATTTGCTCCTAATGTGTTGCTGCTTTTATGTATCTTCCCTTAACATTTTTTGTCTACTCAACTAGACAGAGGTGTGTGGTAGTGATGGCACCACTGTTTCCTACTAGAGTATTTAAGTGAAAGGTTTTGCCTCTGCTTTGTCCATGGAACAAAGGAAGGACTGATATTTTTGACTGGTACTTCAGTCAGAAAGGATCTGGCACAGGCCCCAGCTCTGGATTCTCTAGGTGGAGGGAGTGGATTGTTTTGGAGGCATCTCTCTATGGACTAGTTCTAGTTTTGGTCTAATCCTAGAGTCCAAGGTCAAAATATGGAAGTCAGGAAAAACAAAGCATAAAACCAGAAAATTTCCATCATTACATTGTTCTTCAAATGCTATCCTCTCTACTCCTCACTGTGCTGTTAGCCACCTTTCCAAATTATTTCCATAATAATTTAACTACAAGCAGTAAGAAGGATTAGAGAGAGTGTGCTTGCTCTAGCTTAATCTTTCCCTGACAAGAGTGCCATTTCAGTTGTCAACAGCTCCAGTTTGGTTCCAGCACACAGTATTTGATAGGTGGCATTCTGTTGTAATTATTTTTATTGAAGAACTGAATAATTTCTCCTTAGAAACTTCTTTTTAAAAAGATTTAAGAACTGGGTACACGCCAGAATGCAGAGGGTAAGAGGATTCACCAGAGACAGAGGGAGAAGCAGAACAAGCAGACTGAAATACCTTGCTGAGGGGAGCAGTGGGTGGGACAGGAGAGGTCTGCTGCGCCACGTGAGTCACCTTACTGGCCAGGGATTGAACTTGTGCTGCAGTAGCTGTGGATAGCTTCATAGTGCTGTACTTCAACCCCTTGAGCTACCAGGGAGGGCCTCTGCTTTGAAACTTGTGTAAATTTCCTGCCCTTGAAGAAATTAAGATCACATTTAGATTATACTTTCAGCCTCCTTGTGGCTCACAAATGTACTTTTGATTACTGCTTTGTTTTGCAGCTTTAAAACATTTTTGTTGGAGAAATGTCTTCACAGTCAGAAAAGGATAAAGAGAGGCTGGTTCAAGCTGCCAAAATGTTCTTTTTTCAAATGCAAGATATTTCCTTCTTTACAAAAACCCTTACTGATTTGTTTAACAGCAGCATGAATACTCAGATTATCTTGAAAGCTGTGAAAGAAGATGGTTATGTTAAGGATGTCTTTGAACAAATGCTCATCATTTTCAAGGAGATGCAGTTTGTAGTGGATGCAAAGTATAGCAGAAGACAAAAGGAGCCTTTATGTTCCCAGATGGCAACAGCTATGCGCTCTGTGGTTGAGAAGAGTACCAATGTAAAGGAGCTGCAACAGTCAGCTAAGCAAATGTTCAGAAATATCCGTGCTTTGATCACTGTCTCCGTGCTGAATAGTGGTAACATCCTGGAATGTTTGGAATCTTCTCTTTCACTTTTAATGAAATATCCTATCATGAACCTTCAATTAAGTGACTTTTACAGAAAAGACACCGAAGAGCAATCAGATGCTTCCACATCTGAGGAAAGTTCAAGCCTAGTTTTATCTGAAGTCATTACAGTAGACACCTTGAAGAAATTGCAGGATACACTCAAAACTGAGAATACTAGGAATATTATTGTGTCGGCTGCAGATCACTTGGAGCAGATTGTCAGGACTATGAGGCCAATCTTAGAGATCCTCCAGAGGACCATAAAAGGTATGGAAACCAAGATTTCTTTGGCTAAGAATGTCGGTGCTTATTTCTGCCAGAAAAGCCATTCTAATCTTATGAATTTTCATGGTACTTTGCAAAACCCTTTGATGCTAGACAGGTGGTCTTTTGGGACAGAAGTATAAATGGTATTCACCTGGAAAATCATTTACCTCTAGCTTTGTTTTATTCAAGTAAAAATAAATTATATTAATAAAAGCTTGACCTGCCAGTTCCTAAAAAGAATACATTCCTTAAAAAATAATTAAGGTTCTACACATTTGAGGATGTTTCTGAATATTATATTTGATCGCAAAGCATAATTAAAAGAACCATAAACTAATTTCTACTTCCAGTAGTTGTATTTCTAGTTATTGCTGGGTACAGTGCAAGTAAATGTAAATATTATTGTTAGATAATCTGGCAGAAATGACTGTTTAGGCCATGGAAATACATTAGAGGCATTAAATACTTTTTTGTCATGCACACAGTAGTTATCAACTTATGTTTTCCCTGTCATAATCTATTACTGGGTATTTTTGATATGATGTATCAAGTAGTAAATAAGAACAGTGAATGTGAGAAATAATAGAATTTTCTTCACTAAGAGCAGAACAGATGCTGTTTTTTTTTTACTTGTCTCTTAATGAGGTTAGATGATTAGCAAACATCAGAGGTTGAAAAACAAGTGCTCTAACCTTTCACAAGGAAATATAACATATCTGTAGAAGGAGGCTTTCTGAGAGTGCTTGCGTAGGGGAGGAAGAGTTAAGAAAGTCTGTTTGTCTACAGTGGCTCTCCTGCATTGTAAATGAGTGTATATTCTCCAGTGTCCTATCTCACATGATACTGTTGACTTCGAACTAAAAGCAGCCAGTGATTTCACCCAAAATGGATTTACTTGGAAAATACAAGAAAGCAATTTGGAAAGTACAGTTTCATCGTTAGATACATGTGTACTTCCCCAAACCTAAGCTAGCACCTGCCTCCTACTCTACAGCCTCGGAGGCAGTCCCGCTGCATGGAGACCTCCTCTCCACTGTGCCTGGAAGCACCACCACCTCCTGTCAGAGGCAAAGCTTGTTGGGTCCTATAGTTTGCTAATTGCACTTGTGTGGGACTGCTTGCTTAGCTTATTGACCTCATTTAAATAGGGTTTCTCTATAGTAATCTTCAAGACACCTAATAAGAACTTTGCTGAGAAGAAGAAAAGCAATGTTGGTAACTCTAATTCTTTGTTGGAATTTTCCTGAGAAGATCTACATCATCTCATTTAACATTTTCTCTTTCAAATATTTAAACCTCATAACGTTCACTTTAAAAAGAAACCATTTCTCTATTAGCTGTTTTATGTTGAGGAGAATCCCAGTCTGATCCACATGCTATCCACCTTTAAAAGAAGTGCGTGTGTTAATGGAGGGAGGGTGGCAGGACTCCCATTGTACTCTTCAGAACCTGTACATATCTGGGATTTCAACCTCCTTCATTTGATTTTAGGATTGCATCCCAGGATGTTGCAACCCATGGGGGGATTCACATAGAAATGTAGGGGATAAGGACCAAGAAAAAAGTTCTGGGGACAGAATCTTTCTGTGCAATGTCTGGAAGTCTTCACCAGGTGCCAGTGGGAATGGCAGTTATAGTAGCCCTTTGATGTGCTGGTGCCCACTTCAATAAAGATGCGCTGTCTCCACATGCTCTGACTCCAGAGGCTGAGTGTTACTCAAAGGCGTCTCCCAGAGGTCTCCATGTGGAGCAAACCACCCTCTCTGATAACTTCTGCTGCTGCTTCCCAGCTTGTAGAAAGGCTAGGGGAAAGCTGCGTTCTTCTCAAACTGATTACACCTATTACTCTTATTTAACATTTTCCCCAAATCCTTTTGTTTTAGCTTCTTCTCATTTTCTTTCTTCAAATTTTGTAGCACAGATTGGGGAAGACTCATTTATTTTTATGGTATACCTAATCTCATTTTTACTCTGAGGCTGTCACCACTGCATTGTCTATTTGAGTCGTGTACATATAGGTAGGAAAAGTCAAATGTCATAAAACAAAAAACATGCTCTCACCAAGAAAAAAAAAAGTAGGAAAGAAGGAAGTCTTGTTATACTTGTAATGCCTTCCCCCTCCACTTTTTATTAGCCTTCGTGGTGTTTGCTAATAAACACTATCTATAAAGCATCTAACTCAATAACAGTGTTCAACTTCCAAGTCAAGAACTAGCTCATTTAGTGTATCAATTTCATTAAGATTAATCATGAATACTGACTTCCCAGCAAATAAAACTCTACAGAAATTTTCTTTCACTAGATTTATTTTTTTTAAGTAAGAGTAAATAGGAAATATCAGGACAGACAGTCATATTATAACTCTTTGTCATAAAGATAAAATAATAGGGCCAGAATTGTTTTTATGTACACAAAAAGCAGAAATTCATGTAGTTAATAAAATTACTATGGGGGTAACTATGCAACTTTACAATGTAGTCTTTTTTAACAATACATGTGAATTTATGCATAGTGGAAGTCCATTTTATCTTCAGAAGATATCCAAGACTAACAAAGAGGCGGTAATTATAGTTTTTTTGAAACTGGTCTCTAAATAAGTGATTTACTTTATAGTTTTATAGGCTTTAAATAAGTGATTCACTTTATAGTTCCTTGCTTCAAAACTTTGAAATTATGGGGAATATTGAAAAAATGCAACATATTTATGTTCATCCTTAACTTAATCCACAGATCTGCTCAATTTCTACCTTTAGTAAAGTAGCAGCAGGAGGAAGAACAATTACGTTATCTTTTTAAAAAATATGGTTATTCCCTTAACTCACAAACCTGGAGACTTTATTAAATACAGATTTCTGGGTTTCTAATTCCATAGATTTGGGATCAGGCCCTGGGATTCACATTTCTATCAAGTTCTTTAGGGATACTGACATTGTGTGCTGGGAACATTCTTGAAGAGTCATTGATTTAAAATCTTACTAATAAGCAAACCCTTATTTCTCATAGAGAGCAAGTGCTAAAGAGCTGGATTTTTAGCCTAACGAAATGATTCTATGTTTTCTCTCTAGTCCATATTCTTCCTCTACTCTGTCAGACCCACTTACTAGCCCTTTTACTCACTGATCATTCCTATGTCCCATTTCTCTATTCCATTCTCTCTTTTCCACCTACCTGAAACCCCCCTTCACTTAAACTCTATCTCATATGAAAGATTTATCCAACTACAGGTCTGAAGAAGCTCATTCTAACCCCTGAAACTTATTATTTATACTCATTTTTGTTGCTAAAACCTCGATACAGAACTGTTTCCTATTTTTTTTTCCCCCTTTTATCTTTTGCTCCCACACCCCAGTGTCCTGGGACTGTTCAAATTCTTTTCACTACTTCCTGGCTTCTCCTCTTACCTCCATTGGTGGAAGGTATCTCTCTGCTGTACTCATGAACAGAAGATTTGATTTCCCACTTTTTTTTTTAGTATTTCTTTTGAGTATTATTTGTGGTCTTTATTGATTGATTGATTGAATATATCTATTTACATTATTCATTTTATAACAATGTTTACTTCCACCCTCCCCCACCCATCATCACCATAGCCCCCTACATTCCTCCCTCCTGCTGATACCGCTCTGTCTCCCTCCCTTGCAGGATCTCTCTGGCTTATAATTGTCTGTTTGATTTTGTATTGTTTTGCTGTGTTTTGTATTGTAATAACAATATATTCCTCCCCTCCCCCCCATTTGTGGACTTAATTTATCTTAAGAGAGAGTAAACTCGTGGAAGATCTGGCCTAGTATATTCAGCTCGTAATCCCCAAAAGTGCTTTATATATAGTATGGTACAGAAAAAAAAAATGCAAAAATATCAGGAGGCTTTTCCTAACATATCTCAAAGCACCCCTTGTCAAGACTTCCTTCAAGGCCTGTACCCAGAGTCTTGCCCCCAGGACTTTCTACTAACCTGATCACTAACCTGCCAAAATCCCTGAACAATGGCTCCTAGAAATTTTTTGTTTATGGAAATTTTATGCTTGCTTTATTAGGTGTAGGATCAGTGCAAGCTAGGTGCTAGAGGTATACTTGGCTCTGTTCTTCTCGAAATCCCAGTGCAAAGATTGAAAGTACTAGATGCCTGAATTCTCTACATTTCCATTTATCCTCTTCTGTCATGACACAGACCCTTCAGGAACTTCTACTGGGACTAAATGGGTTGATGTCCACTTTTGTTGCTTCTTATCCAAATCTTAGAGGGACTAAGTAGCATGGGCTTCACTCCATTTATGAGGGTCTATGGAAATCAGACAAAAGCAATTCCCTATAGCACTATCCATGTTTGATACCTGAGAGAATACCTGATATTTTTGCATATTTTTTTGGATACCTCTTTTGTTGTCTGCTTTGCCTCTACACACAGTCACATGCTTTCCTAATATACATAATTTGCATGAAGACTTAAAATTTAATTTGCTACAAACTCCTTTGTAAGTTAACATACGAGTTTAAGTTCAGACTTGTCTACTATTTTATGAACATGAGTACAAAACTCCTTACTGGCATTAGATGATTTCACTGACATCTTTCCTTAATTTAGTTCTCAAATTTTCTTTTGACACTACACTGGTTTGCCATAATACTGATAAAAATCTCTGAAGAAATTTTACCCCCTAGTTATGACTATGGGATCCATTGTTTCCATTTGATAAAGAGTTTTTCCTTTGTACTCTAACTCAAGCATTTCTGATTTGTTCTTATTTACAACTACTATGTAAAAAATAAGGGAGATTCCTTGTTATAGCTCCAGTTGTTTGAGATAGAGAATTTAATTCAGATTACTTGAGCAAAAAAAATAATGTATTGCTTTATGTACTTTAAAAAACCTAGGATATCTATTTTCAGGTTCTGTTGGGGCTCATATACTCATCAAGTTAGTTTCTTTTCATTTTTGGCTCTTTATTGTTAGCTCCATTCTCAGAGAGGGCATATCTCTCCTGCTGGTGGAAGATAACAGTTAGCAGCTTTAGCTTCATAGTTACTGTTTCCACTCAAATAAAAGGAGGGGCCCTCCCTGGTGGCGCAGCGGGTTAAAGCACAGCACTGAGAAGCTTGAGCCACTTCCGCATGAATTTGATCCCCGCCTGACCCCCAGGTGACCACATGGCGCGGCAGACCTCTCCTGACCCGCCCGCTGCTCCCCTCAGCAGTGTACTTCGTGGATCTGCCTGTTCTGCTCCCCACTCTGTCTCTGGTGAAGCCTCTCACCGCCCCTGAGCCTCTGGCCTGTACCCCAGTTCTGTATGAATAAATAAATAAATCTTTAAAAAAAAAAAAAAAAAAAGGCTCCCAGCACACTCCAATTTAATTCCAAAAAAGTATCTTGATTACATCTCACAATCTCTGCTTGGGTCATTTCTATTTCAGCATGAATCTCTGTTTTCATGGAGAAGAAATATGTAGAATTACAGGCCCACCCACAGCAGTAGGTTGAGCCAGCTCTGCAGCAACTGATAGGTACTCCCAAGGGTATTCTGGATCTTCTGAGAGCCATAAAGCAAAAGAGTTCAGGACAACAAAACCACAAGTTTCCTTTATATTCCACTTTTGGGCAAGATGATAAAACTGGTTAAAAATGAGAGAAAAGCTATAACTATAGGAGCTGGGATGCACTTCTTGCTGGAAGCTGTGAAAACAAACAGAAAAAAAGAGTTAAAGGTGTTTTTGGTAGTAGATTTTTTTTTTAAGCTACCTCATTTTTCTTTTGACTTTTTTTTTTTTTAACTTAGAAAATTCCTAGTAAAAAGTTAGCTACTTTTATAAAAGTATTCTTAGGTTTTTTCATTTGATAGTATTAAGCTTATTCATTTTTCAGATGGTGAAACAGGTACCCAGAGGTTTAGAGATTTAACTCAGGTTACCCAGCTTACTGGGGGTAGGGCTCTCCATCTTTATTATCATCAGCAGCATTATCTCCATCACTGGCACCCCCATAACAAAAAGCATTTGCTATGTGTTAATTCAGTCTTAAAAAAAATACTGATTTATACATAGAAGATCTGGCATGCCGGCCAGAGGTTTGGGGGTTAAGAGGATTCATCAGAGACAGAGTGAGGAACAGGACAGGTGTGTCCACTGAAATATAGTTCGAAAGGAAGCAGTGGGCAAGACAGGAGAGGTGTGCTGTACAATGTGAATCACCTTCCTGACTGGGGATTGAACTTGTGCTGCAGTAGCTGCAGATAGCTTCTTAGTGCTGAGATAACCCCTTCCACATTAGGGGGGCCCTGTCAGTTCAGTCTTCATGACAAAGCTATCAAGTATTTTTTCTTATTATCTTCATTTTTTTTGGTTGCGAAAACAGTGACAGAGATGTGAAGAAATTTGCTGGGCCTCACTCTTCATGTTGGTAGTGTAGTCAGCATTCAAACACAGGCAACTGGCTCAACACTGTATTTTTTACTATTGTCTCTTTGGAACTTGCACATCCATTCATAGAATTTTTATAACAAGCTGCTCAAAAAACATCCTGCTTGTGTATGTGTAAATATGTGCCCTGCCTAAACATATGTGCTCTTCTGAGGAAGTATGGGAAAGGTTAGCAGACATCTTTTTGTGGTTGATGGAACCAAAATTGGAATATAAAAATGACTGTCAGTGTAATTACTAATTGGGACTACAGTGGACTGAGGACTATAGTGAGATGGAAGAAGGAAACCTAAGTGAAGAGTCGATGCACATATTCAGCTGACTACTTGGATAGAAAAGATGTTTAGGGTAAGAAAACATTCAACTCTGTGAGTGTCCCAATATTTGACCATATTGTTTAGTATCACCAGATGATGGAGAAATCTTTTACGTACAAGATCCTTTTAATTTCCTGGTTTTTTTTTTTCCTACTTAGAATTTTACATTTACCAATAGTATTTTACAAAACTCCAATTTTGAGTAAAACCACTATAAGAGTAGGTAAGGAAAGTTAATCATGCGTGCATTTTTCTAAGCTTTGGTCAAAGTATTGTCAAAGAGACCTGGGAACCATTGTGGGAGGACATTCATGACATTCATTAGAATAGCCTCAAACTACTTTTTTTTTTTTTTTTTTTTGCTTCATTGAGGCTAGAGAGCCCAACAACTGCCAACCTCCTGTCTTTCACACTTTTTTTTTAAGATTTATTTATGCATGTAAGAACTTTCCTCTCTTCTTACTATTCTTTACTTATAGCCACTGTCACTTCTACTTTACATTGTTTTTTTTTTTATTTACGCAGACAATGTATTTAGGAGAGTAACTAAAAACACCTGTGATTTAAATTACAATTTATTCTCTGAATTGCAAATAGCTTGGCTTTTTTAAATACTTCTGCATTTGTCTTTTCTATTTTTTTCAAGTTGGAAATATTTTCAAACTGAAAGTTGTGCTCTGTAAATTGTCACATAAGTTTGGTAGGTGATGACTGTCATCTTTTAATAATACAATGAAATAGGTTAGAATAAAAAATGACTAGAGTTGCAGTGCATGTGAAAAGATTAACTACTGTTTTACTATGTCTGCAAATGTGTGTTCTGTGCAATTTATATGTGAAGTGAGTTATGCTGTCTTTTCACAGAAGATTTAAAAGAATGGTAGGTTCTCAGTAACACTTACATGGATAGATAAACTGAAAGTAATCTATAGAGAAAGTTGTGGACTTTTTCTGAGAAAATCCTACTTCTGTCACTTATGTGACAAGTGAAAAAATTTCACTTGTGTGAAATTCTAACACAAACCATTTTACCTCTCTAAACCTCAGTATTCAAATCAATATAATGGCATCAGTATCCCAACTTACAGGGTCACTGTGAGAATTAAACAGATAATGTGTGTGAAAGTCTTTTGTAAGCAAAATTTTTACATAAATATTTTATTGCTGTGTTACAACCTACTTTTGGGTATCTGTACCTAAGGTATATAAAGGCCAGGGAAAAATAGTTATTTACAACTTTCATTTCATAAAGCCTGAAACTATGTCAGTTATATCAGCTGTTCAGGAAGAAGTATCCAATTTCTTAAAAAAAAAAAAAAGGGGCCCTCCCTGGTGGCACAGCGGGTTAAAGCACTGCACTAAGAAACTTAAGCCAACTCCTCATGAGTTCGATTCCCGCCTGCCCCGGAGGTGACCACATGGCGAGGCAGACCTCTCCTGACCCGCCCGCTGCTCCCCTCAGCAGTGTACTTCGTCGATCTGCCTGTTCTGCTCCCCACTCCTGTCTGGTGAATCCTCTCATCCTCCACATCTCTGGCTTGTACCCCAGTTCTGTATGAATAAATAAATAAATCTTTAAAAAAAAAAAAAAAAGGAAAAGTTAAAACTATCTAGCAGGATATCAAGCTAATCTATGGCCTCTGTCTGTCAAAATGCAGAGAGCAATGAGTGTTCATCTTTTTAGAATGTTATCTAGGAAAAAGTTGGCATTCAAAAAAAGCATTACTACTTTTGCCTCTGCCTTTGTTTCTATTTTTACTGTTAATATCTCTGCAGCACACATTTGTGCTATTAAACTCTTTTCTGCTTCCATGTGCCAAGCACTTTCCGAGTTTGCTGTTACATTTGAGAGAGTAGCTATCAAGTGCTATTGTGATATTCCTTCTAGACCGGTATTTCCACATTTATAAGTGAAGAAACAGCTCAGAAATTGTCACTGCATGCCGGTCAGTCTCCCAGTTTCATAATGCCCATTGTTTTCATCTATTCGTCTGAGACACTACCTCAAGGTGAGTGATGTCACAAATAGGGAAAAACGAATTGAAAACTGCATAACTGAAGACCAGAATTAAAAAAAAAAAAAAAGGGAACTAGAAAGTTAATACAATAAGAATAATGGATAATAAGCTAAAAGTCTTGAGAAATTACTTACATGTATACTGTTCCAAGAGTTTTGCAAGAATTCATTCATTTTAGCCTCCCCCAAATTTTGTCAAGTGAGTTTTGTTTTATTTTCAAAAATGATTTTTACTTTTATGATATAAAGAAGCAGTTATAGAGAGACTAAGCATTAGCTCATGTTATCACTGCTAGTAACTGGCAAGATTAACAGGTAAAACCAGGCTTACAACAAAGAATTGCTATTTTTTTCTAGGAGTACACTTAAGAATTTTGATTATGTGAAACATCTTAACAAATAAGTCCTTCTTTGTGAATCCTATGACATAGAACAGAGTGTGCATTTGTGTGTCTACAGATTTTTGGCACAGATCATTTTGCTGAAAGAAGCAACACTTAAGGGCAAATAGCTAACATAACATATTTTGAATTTTCTAATGGTCTTGAAAACATGTTTCTGTGGTAACTAGGTAGGTCATTAAAGGCTGAGGAAAGAATTAGAAGGGAAAACTGTTGCTTTAGAAAGTTTTAAGTAAACTCATTCCCTTGCAAATTCACTCCCTTGGGCCCTCCCTGGTGGCGCATCAGCTAAGGGCACAGCACTGCAATCTAGCCGCAAATTCACTCCCTTATATGTACCTTATCCTAGCAATTTGACCTTTTGACTCTGAAGACAGCAGATTTCTGGAAACTCTGTGAACTTGAAAACTGCAGTTACAAGTTAATAAAACCAATTTTGAAATAAATTGAAGGAGTTACGAACTATACTCTTAAATCTATGATCTCCTTTGGGAGAATTACAGCATTCCATTTGGCCAGTTGTAAAGGCCTTCATGTTGTTTTTCAAGTATCACATCAGTCAGATTAAGAGATAAGAGGAAGATTGAGACAGGAGAGATAACATATATTATACCCCTATAAGGACATGGAATAACTAGAGGCCTCTGCTAGGTGATTTGAAACAACTGTCCAGGTGAGGTTCCAGTTTCATGAGGATTTACATATTAATGATCTAGAATACCACAGTTGAATCTTTTAGTCTGGGATTGGTTGGGAGATGGAAAGTGATCAATAATAACTCTGAAAATTAAGATCAAGGAGAGATTGCTAATCTTAACACCCCTTAATGAAGGCCTTCCAGGTAAGAAAAATACAGTTCTCTCCTCCTGTTGTTCATTTAAGGATCTAGCCAATATGGCTCCAGGATTTTAGGATAAGTAGTGTTACTTATTATTTAACCAAATGACTTAAGGAAGGTTTCAGATAGAATTTACTCAATGAGATAAATACTATGTAGTGAACTACTGAATGCATTCTGAAGTCCATCAGTTATTTTTGTAATCAATAGGCATAAGAGAATGTTGATTGCGTCCATTCTATGACTATGTCGTCTTTTTGTCCTTAACTAAATTGGTTGTACTAAAAACCAATCAGTGGGAGTGAGTTTGAGATCGAACCAGAGAATGGACTGGCCGTTGCAACCTTTAGTCAGAGCTCAGACTAAAAAGAAGACTGGCATCATGCCAGTGGAGCTTATCCTCTCCCCTTTTCATTTCACACGAATTGAATAGTTTTGTTGGGAAGATACTTTCATTCTAGCTCTCATGCAATGTTTCTGACAAAATATCAACCTCTGATATTAGTAGTATTTTTATCCTACCATTTGCAATCTCTTTTCTGAACAAGACTAACTAGTAAATATCTAAGGAAACTTTAGATACAGTAACTTCTATAGCAAAAGGACCACATTCCAGATCATTGGCACTGTGGCTACAGCTCCTTACTCTTGATGCCTGCTTGTACTTTTTAGAATATTCCTCTTTCTACTAAATATTATAGCTGCTATTAGTCAACTGAGCTTTATGGTCATGTGAACTAATACCTGATCACTTAGAAATAGGAAAAAGAATGCTTAATTTCTTCATGTACTCATTCAACAGATAAAAGTTTGAATACCTTTATGTGTCAGGGAACTATAGTTAATAATAGGTAACATTTACTTACCATTTATTAAATGCTAGAAAATGTTAGTATTTTATTTAATCTTCACAGGAGTCCTATGAGACTCTACTATGATGCTTATTATATAGGTGAAGAACTTTGAGAGTTTGACCAACTTAACGGAGAACACAGCTAAAAAAGTGGTACAAGTTGTGTGTGAATTCAGACATAGGGGCAATATAGGGTCAAACTGCCTGGATTCTATGTTCATATCCTAAATATTATGTACACAAGTTCATGCCCACAGAGAGCTTACAGAACAATATAAAATTATTGGTCCCTTTAAGTATGATGTGTGATTTCAAATGTCCAATCAAGACCAATCAAGTCCCCCAAAACTAGTAATATATATGGCAACCCCTGCAAAACTTTGACTTAAAACCAAATTGAAATTGTGTTTGAGTAGTTTGACCATAGTTGATACCAAGATCATTAATATTAGGGAGAAGGTCTTAAAATATTTTTCATGAAGACTTAAGGAGAAGCAGAGCTGGGTGCCAGATTATATTATTCATGCCTCTCAGTTTTTTATTCCATGACATAAAAAAGTTCCAGAGTTTTCACTTAATATATTTTACAGTGCTCATTAACCTAGTAGGATAATGATAAGATTCAAATTCATGATAAGAAATTTCAAATTTGTTTGAAATTCTGTTCAAAACAGAATCCTTTTTAGGTATATTTCAAAAGAATCCCTGAAACTTACACAGAATATTCTCATGTATTGTAAACATTACACTATTTTCTTTATATCCACTTTAGTTTTTTAGTCTCCTCTGTAAACACTATTCTCTTGGATCTTTTGAGTGGCTACTCTTTCCTCTCATAATGCTTTCTGCCACACTACCAGCGATAGGAAAGAGGAGGTAAATGTTTTGTAGGTTGCCTCTTCCCTGGTCTCGTTTACAGTAGACCAGAGTGAGTAGAACTTGAACCTCAGCGTGGCTGCATGTTTGAGGACATTTGTGACACATCAGTCCTGAAATACTGAGAAATACTGGGGGTTGGAATTAGGAACAACAATAGTAATGATATAGTGGAGGCAGATTCAGGAATATTTCAGAGGTAGACCCTGCAGCCAAGTTGCAGTTAAAAGTAAATGGATGCGGGACCTCCCTGGTGGCGCAGCGGGTTAAAGCACTGCACTGAGAATCTAAAGCTGCTTCCGCATGAGTTCAATTCCCGCCTGCCCCGGAGGAGACCACATGGCGAGGCAGACCTCTCCTGACCCGCCCGCTGCTCCCCTCAGCAGTGTACTTCGTCGATCTGCCTGTTCTGCTCCCCACTCTGCCTCTGGTGAAGCCTCTCACCGCCCCTGAGCCTCTGGCCTGTACCCCAGTTCTGTATGTACAAATAAATAAATCTTAAAAAAAAAAGTAAATGGATGCACATGTGGATAAGGATTGTCTTACCTGAATCAAACAACATTTGCTATATAACTACTGCTCTGTGAGATAATTGTGTCTGGTAACATACAGGAGAAAATGGAATCAGACACATGGTTTTCTAAAAATAGACCTTAACAATTTTTGGGTATTTTCAGTTAATTTTTCATGGTCACATCAGAGCTTTTGCTAGCATATTGATCTGATTGATGCTTCACACCTTAGAAATTTCCAATGATTTCTTGTTACATATAGCATCGGGTTTAAAACTCTTTAGCATAGAACACATGACTTTTCACTATTTGGCTCCATCAGAACTACTCCACCCCAATCAAATCCTACTCCCTTTTTATTCCTAGTCTCTTCATATGCCTCACACATCGGGATTTTGGACATTCCCCTCAAGACAACAGCTAATTGAAATATCTGTGATCTGCCATATGCTGTTTTTCATTTGCAATAACTTTTTATTTACTACTATTCCTCTTGAATCTCCTATAATCCTCCTCTGGGGAGTCTTCCTTCCTTTTCCTAGATACAACAAATAGCTTCCTGCATTAAGTAGCCACAATCAGTGCTTAAACATCTTTTGTGTGTAGACAAATATTTGTTCATATTTCCATTTCTCAGACTAAGAATCCTACTAGAAGAGTGATTTTGTTTTACTAACTCTATATTGCCCAAGCCTTGTAGCCTAGATCCTTGAACTTGGAAGATGAAGAATGAGTAAGTCTTGTTTCTTGCTTTACTTGTAGTACGTATTAGATATGAAATGACCATAAAACACAACAACAAAAGGAGTTTGAAGAAGAAGTTAAAAATCCTCTACTTTATGTGCTACTTTTTCCAATAAAGATGTACTCTCTGTCCAGAATGCCCCACATGTCATTGCAGAAGCATATTCTCTTAGAAGTAGTTGAGGAGAAGAAAGAATGAGGAAACCAAGAAGTAAAAGTGAGTTTTCTCTCCTCTCTGAATTCTACCATTACCAAACATCAGTTTTCATGTTTTTAGTCTTTTCCTCCTGATCCCACTGAGAAAAGTAAGTTTTATAAAAGAGTAGTGGTCTGTGATCGCAGTAAGAGTAGACTTAATGTAGTGTGATAATAATACCTTTTAGCAGCAGACAGTTATATGTGCTGAAGTTCCCAGTTGAGTGCAATTGCAACCAAGTTCCTTTTGGGTGGTAGCTCATATTTACAACTTCGAACAACTCATAGGGAGGGACCAGCACCACTTCCTTGAGAGAGAAGTGTTGTACAGGTACACCCAGGCAGGTAAATATGGTAAATAGCGTTTGGTTCTCCAAATTTTGTGCCTCTTCTCTTAGGAGTGAGGTTGAAAGGAATTGGCCAAATCGAAGCGTGGCACCTATGGAAACTTCCAAGTAGACATCCTTTGCCTTATAGTACACCTTATAACACAGAGAGTCATTCTTCATGATAATCTCTTTCCTCAGGAGTTGGACTGCTGAGGTCAGATAGTAGTGTAGATATTTAAAATGGAAGGAATGTTTGTACTGCTCTGGAGACCTACCAGCACTAGCCATGGCTCTAGTGAAGTCAGAGCGAACATTATTGTTCAGTGTATAAACCAAGAGGGCAACAGCATGTGTAATAGTCATGTTCTCAGGGAGACCTTTTTCTTGGTTCAGCCAGTTTACGTGGGCATTCTGCCACACCTTGGAGTAATTTCTGTGGGTTTCTAGTTCTTTTGAGAAATAATCCCCTTGATTTAATTCCTCCATGATCTCTTGGCCACAACCTTGGTACTGATCATCAAAGGAATCTGGTGACAAGTCAATGTATCTTTTAGCTGCAACCTATAAAGAAAAAAAAATCACGATTTTAATTTTCAACCATGTTGGCACTTTATCCCTGTAAAGATGAGCTTTCGGTTATACTTATCAAACGAAATTCAATCTCTAGCACAGGAAGAACTGGCAATATATATTCACACACACACATATTTGCTGAAATGTTATAATCATATGTTGCCAGTTCTTCTATGTCTGTGACCTGTGCTAGAGATTGAATTTCGTTTGATAAGTATAACCAAAAGCTCATCTTTACAGGGATAAAGTAACCCTTTTGACCAGAGTCACAGAAATTTTGCATAATATTCCTACGTAGTACTTTGAAGAAAAAACTCTTAAAGTTCAAATTATCATTTCTGTCTGTATCCTCTACCAGTTTCCTTCACATTCTATCCTGCTTGTTTTAAGGAATGTCTCTTAAAACAGAAGATAAATACAACTATATTAAATCTTTGAACATTAACTTTAAAAAGATAAGTGATGAATATTGTCTAATGTTTCAGTGGATCCTTCTATTTAGAATCTGAAGAACAAAAGAGAAAATATGAAGGCTAAAATATCATTTCACTACTGTGCAGTGCTATGATGGTGCAGACATTTTTAGGGCTTGAACCTTAAAAGGAGGCAGAGTTGTGCATTCAGGTACAGGTAGTCCTGGATTGGGGTTCACTGGATTAGGTTCCTGTTATGGAGAAACACAGAACTCATGCCCTTTGCCACAGGCTAACTCCCAGGAGGAAGAGAACAGTCATTCAGGGTACCCAGTTCTTCTGACATTGCCAGTAAAATAAATTTGCCTATCTCCAGGGGTGTAGAGAGAGTAATTAAACTGTGGTGAGGTATGTGCCTAGGAAAAGTCACTTCTCTTGGAAATCAGGAGTGAAAAATGATTACTTTCATTTGAGCCATCTTTCAACTATCTTAAATTCAAGGATGTTTCCTTCTGCAAAGAAATAATGATTTTCTAATAAACGACACTCATTAAGGAATACGTTAAAAAGATTCCATCCATTTCGTGTTAAGAAAATTGTGACTGGAACTGAAGAAACTTAACATTTTGTATTTTTACATTTATGATGACAAAAACATAGAGCTGACTGCAAAGTAGAACACGTTGTTAACTTATTACAGATTTTAAACAATAATTTTACAGTAGATTTAAAAATAGGCCTACAGAATATATTTATGCCAAACCAAACCAACTAATATGTTCTGTCAAACCTCATTATAATGAAATCTAAAACTTTTAAATATATTATTTCGTCCCAGATATGTTCTGATATGTCTTAATGTAAAGTTATTTTTCATTATATAGAACTCACAATACTACTTTTAAGTTGATTTATCCTATACATTTTAAAGCCAAATTGGGCTGGTTAATTTTGTATTATTTGTTCTGCACTAACAGTTGTTTCACTTACACTTTATGGAGAAACAAGCCAATAATACTTTGCCTCTAGTATCCATACTTTCAGATGCATGAACTATAAGCAATTACACATTTTTAATGATTGTTTTCAATTCTTTTTGCTAATGTTATTTAAATTAATGACAATAAATCCCAAGTGCCTAAAATTGATTTAAAGGTTTTTACCAGAAGAATGGTCTATAAGAGCATTAATCAAGAAGAGGTTACCTCCTCAGTTGTGCCCTACCTCAGAACTCGCTGTGGGTCTCTGCAGGTCAGAGAGCAGCAGCAACAGCAGGAGAGAAAGCTGCCTTTGGAGAAGCCAGATTCCCATTGTAGGGGCTGCAGTAGTTGGGAGAAGAATCCTCTTGTATCCTTTGGTCAATGAACAGCATTTGTTTGTGTCAAGGGTACATTGTTCTTGCAGCTTCATCCTGAAATGAATTTTCAGAGTTCTTTGTCAGAGTTGTCTTTGGGTGATTCTCAGCAGGAATCTGCTTTGCTCTTGTCTGTGTTAAGACTTCTGTTGACCAAAACAGTTAGCAATTTTTCTGCAGGAGTTTCTGAAAGAAATTCCAACTCATTTGTCAAGCTGAAATCTCTGAATTAGTCAGATGTGCACTCAAAAGAGGGAGCTCTAAAGTGAACCCAAGTTAGTCTCGCAATTAAAAATTTCCTATCTATGTGTGGCATTCCAAATGCCTCTTCAGGGTCAGGCTCAACTGATCAGCCTTTATTTTTCAGGCAAGCAGGAAAAGCACACACTGTACATTATTTGAGGCCAAGAAGCTTTATCTTGAACTCCAGGCTTCCATTGTGATTAATATGATTGGCTCTTCAATGTCACGGGACAATGTTCCCTCAGGGTGGGTCTGTGTCAGGCTCATCTGGTGCTACTGATAGGCCCTGAACAGAGTGTTGCCATGGAGCAAATCAGCTTTTTATGGTTATTTTCAAAAGAAGGCTATCTTTCCTGTTTTCCCACAGAACTTCGGAATTCTTCAGTGTAGAAATTGTCAGCCTGATTGGTTTTCCTTTATAGGTTATTTTGTTTCATCCCTCTTGTCAGTTTCATTATCTTTTCTTTGTCTTGGATTCTTGAGAGCTTTACTATTTATTATGTGTCTTGTATTTCTCCTTTCATCATAGAAGTTTGGTGTTCACCATGGAAGTTTGGTGTTCTTCTCATGTCTTGTATGTTTACTTTTATCATCTTCTTCATACTTGGGAAGTTCTCTTCAGTTATCTCTGTGAATATTTTCTCTATTCTTTGACCTTTCTCCTTACTTTCTGAGAGACTTATAACTCATATTTCCTTTCCTCGTGGTGTCAGATAGTTCTTGAAAGTTTCTTCATTCTTTTTCCTTTTTATTTCTCGTTCCTTTTCTGTAACTATACTACAAAGCCATAATAATTAAAATTGGAACCAAGAGCAGGCATACAGACCATTGGAGTTGAATAGAAAGCCCATTTATAAACCCACAGTCTTGTGGACAGCTAATCTTTGACAAAGGAACAAAGAATATGCAAAGGAATAAAGAAAGTTTGTTCAACAAAGCAAGTTTAGTGCTGGAAAAACTGGGCTGCTCTATGAAAAAAAAAAAAAATGAAGCTAGATTACTACATTGCACCAAACACAAAGAGACACCCCACTGATTGGGAGAAAATTTTGCATGCCATAATAATGAGAAAGGACTGATCACAAAGATACACAAAGAGTTGACAAAATTCAACAAAAAATACTGCACAGTTCCATCAAAAAATGGGCAAAAGAGCTAAAGAGACATTTCTCCAAAGAGGAAATGAAAATGGCCAACTAAGGCATATGAAAGATGTTCCAACATCACTTGTAATAAGGAAAATGCAAATCAAGACCACAATGAAATACTATCTCACACTAGTGAGAATGACATATATTTAAAAAACTAGCAACAACAAGTGCTGGCAAGGATGTGGAGAAAAAGGAACTCTCCTACATTGCTGGTGGGAATGCAATCTGGCCCAACAACTATGGAAAGCTGTTTGGAAGTTTCTCAAACTGCTAAAAATGGAGTTTCGCTCCAGGAATTCCACTCTTAGGCGTCTACCCAAAGGATACAAAAACATTAATTCAAAAAGATACCTGTACCCCATGTTTATTGCTCCATTATTTATAGGGAAGATGTGGAATCAACCCTAATGCTCAAAAATAGATGACTGGATTAAAAAGATGTGGTACATATACACTATGGAATATTACTCAGCAATCAAAAAGTTAAATTTATGCCATTTGCAGCAACATGGATGGAGCTGGAAAGGATCATGCTTAGTGAAATAAGCCAGAACGAAAAAGAAAAATACCAGATGGTTTCATTAATAACAGGAGTATAATATCAGAAAAAAAAAGAAAAAAGCAAATGTAATAAAGTAGAGGCTAAAATAAACAGACAACTATAAACCAGAGACATTTTCCAGGAGTGGGGAGAAAAATAGTATCAAAACTGGTGAGGGAAGAGTGCACTGGACTGTGGTGATGGCACATGGGTGAAATGGTAGTGGGCAGTCCATGGGGATTATAACAGAGATGAGAATGTGTACAAAATGAAGAATGATGTAATATATGATGCATATTAACATGTAATATATGTTATATTACATATATACACACATATATTTACTATTTATACATTTTCAATATATGTATATTTAAAAAAAGAAATTGTGCCTGTTGGGGTCATAGTTCTTTCCTGTTTTTTCTTCTGAACACATCTCTGATCTTCTATCTGAACAGCTGCCATCAATCAAAAGTAGGATCCAATGTGCCAAGTTCAGTCAGCATGGCTATTCTGTTAAATACTCTGTTCTTGGCATTTCTCTTTCCAGTGTGAACATCCTTTCTCTAAGTCCAGTTTTTGAGGCAATTGTTTTTCTTGCAAATCTTTCCCAGTTACAATGAAGGGAAACAAATCCTCTTGGAAATTTTGGGATATATTTTTAGTACCATAATATTTTTGAATCTATAATGTCTGGTGATTATAGCTGGTCTCATTACAGAAGTTCTGAATATCTTGAAAAGTGTAAAGGATGAAATAAAATTATCCCTATCTCATCTCTTTCCTGTTTTTTCTATGAACACATCTGATCCTCTATCCACATATTCTAGTCTATAGTGAGACAGCCTCTAAACAGCTGCCATCAATCAAAAGTAGGCTCCAAAGTGCCAAGTTTATCCAGCATGGATGTTCTATTAAACACTCTCTCTTAGGCATTTCCTATTTCAGTGTGAACATCCTGGAAAAAGCTACTATTTAGCTTTTGGTCACACACACACTCTTGCAGACTGAAATATAACATTCAGTTTTGCATTTTTCCTTACTGTTTCAGTAAAGAAACATATATTTGCATGTATATGTAAACATATACTTGCATAATTTAATACTGGAAATATGATTTTTTATGGTTGCACATTATTCCATGATAGGTGCTACCATGCAATAAAATGTGATAGGTCCATGGACTATAATGTCTTCAGAAGCAGACTGATTAATGAATAAACACAAACTCTTAGAAAGACACCTCAGTTCAATACCTGGCTCCTACCACCTCCTTAGTGTATGATCTTGGGAAAGATACTTAATTTCTTAGTTCCTTATTTTAAGTGTAGATAATAATAGTACTAACCTCATTGAATGCTTTGATATATTTATAACCTGATACAGAGATGGGAAGACATCCCATGCTCATGGATGGGGGATTAAAAATACTAAAATTGTCATCTTACCTATAGCAACATGGATGCAATGCAGTCCCAAACAAAATTCTAGTGGTATCTTTCCAAGAAATAGAGTAAGTTATTCTAAAATTTATCAGAACCACTGAAGACCCCAAATACTCAAAACAACCTTCAGAAAAAGAAGAAAAATAGTAGTAGCATGGTTTACCTTACCAAACTATATTACAAAATGGCAGTAACATGGTATCAATGGAACTGAATTGAGATCCATGAAATAAATCACACACATCTTCACACCTAATTTATGCCAATGGAATCATGTCATATAATGGAGAAAGGAAACTATCTTTACCATATGATCCATGAAATAAGTCACACACATTTTCACACCTAATTTATGACAATGGAATCATGGCATATAATGGAGAAAGGAAACTATCTTCACTATGTGATATTGAGAAAAGCAGACAAGCAAAAGAATGAACTTGAGTCACCCTCTAGTTCCATACATAAAAATAAATTCAAAATGGATTAAAGGCTTGGATCTAAGACCCCAAACCATAAAAGACATAGAAGAAAAAAACAGGCATTATATTTCCATGACATCAGTCTTAGAAATGTCACTGGGAACTGGACCTCAATGGAAATGGAAACAAAAGCAAAAATAAGTAAGTGGGGCTACATCAAATTAAAATGTTTCTGTTCAGTGGAAACCATAAAATACCTGGAAGCAAAGATGGGTGAAACACTGTACAACATACACTTCAGCAACATCTTTGAAGATATAGCACCCAATGCAACGATAGTGAAGGCAAGGATAAATAGATCGGACTGCATCAAGTTAAAGAGCTTCTGTACAGCGAAAGAGACATTACATAAAACAGACATCCCTCTGATTGGGAAAAATTTTTCTCACACAAAACTAGTGATAAAAGATTGATCACAAAGATATACAAAGAACTGATGAAACTCAACAAAAATAAACAACCCCATCAAAATATGGGCAGAAGTGCTAAAAAGACACTTCTCCAAAGAGGAAGTGCAGATGGCCAACACGAATATGAAAAAAAATGTTCAGCATCACTTGTAATAAGGGAGATGCAAATTAAAACCACAATGAGCTATCACCTCACCCCAGTGAGAATGGCACATCTTAAAACAACTAGCAACAACAAATGTTGTCAAGGATGTGGAGAAAAAGGAACTCTCCTGCACTGCTGGTGGGAATACAACTAGTACAACCAGTATAGAAAACTGTTTGGAGGTTTCTCAAACTACTAAACATGGAGCTTCCATCTGACCTAGCAATCCCACTCCTAGGTATATACCCAAAAGACACAAAAACACTGATTCAAAAAAATACCTGCACTCCCATGTTTATTACTTATTTATTTAAAATTGGAAAGACATAGAAACAGCTCAAATGCCCAAAAGTGGATGACTGGACTAAAAAGATGTGTTACATATACACAATGGAATATTACTCAGCAACAACAAAAAAATAAACATATACCTTTTGCAGCAACATGGATGGAGCTGGAAAAGATCATGCTTAGTGAATAAGCCAAAGAAAAGGAAAAATAGCAGATGGTTTCACTCATAGCAGGAGTATAACTGACCAGGTGAGAAAATAATAATAATAATAATGAACAACCATATACCAGAGACATTTTATGGGGGTGGAGGAGGAATGAGATCAGAAACAGTAGGGAGAGGGAAATGCACTGGACTATAGTAATGGCACATGGTGATTTGGTGATTGGAAGCCAATGGGGATTATAACTGAGATGAAAAAATGCACAAAATGATGTAAAAATAAACTATTATTTAAAAAAAAAGTCAGATTCCAAAAAAATGTTTCTGTTCAGCAAAAGTAAAAGTCAACAGAATAAAAAGACAGCTTACTGAATGGGAGAAGATACTTG